TTTGTCTCTGTACAGCTGCTTGAAGCAGGCGGATTTGACTACCTGCGGTGTTGAATGTTGGCAAGTTCTCAGCCTGAACAAATGGCTAAGTCTGCTAAGCCTTTGTCCTCAGTCAACCCTGCTGAACATGGGGATTTTCTCGGACACCATTCAATTATGAGAGAAATTTCAGACAAAGTTGTGACCTTGACGTCGAGGTCGCATCCAACGGGCACTGTGTGAGTAGTTCACCAATGCTGTTACACTCATGATCCCAACCGAAGTGGAGGAACACCATTTCAGTCGTGTTGTAAACTGTCTTATCACTGTCAGTGTCAAGTGGTGTAAAGGAAAGGATACAAGCCATCAAATGATTGCATTCAATTGTATTTGCCAGAGGTTCATGTTTTCACCTTTTGTTACAGCACATTGTTGGAAATTTTACCTGGGACTAGAAGCGTGCTTCTAGAGACGAGAATAGGTCACATGCGCTGAAAACGTGACGTAGCCCCTACGAACGATATGTAAGCAATCACGTCACGTATGATCTGCACCGCTGTGCCCTCCTTCATCCCCGACGTCCTACCAGTGAGCCTAGGAGGACTGATGAGGCATACAAGAGATTAATTTAAAAGGGGTGAGATTCCAATTAAACGATTCGAAACTCATAGCAGATACATAGCTGACGCACTCAATAAACTTGAGAAAGGGCAGGTGGCTGTCATTTTCCAGCTTTGGTGTGGACACTTCCCTTTACAAGCATTTTTATTTAGGATGGGAGCCGAAGATGACGACAAATGTGAAAACTGCAAAGTGAAAGAAACACCGACCCACTTCTTGATATTTTGCAGGAAATTTGATATACAATAACAGGCTATTAGAAAGAAGATCAAGAAAGAAAAGATCAAAGTGGATATCAATTCAGCAATCAAATTACTAGACACACCATGAGTCTTTCCGTACTTAGCAAATTTTATTGAAGACACAGGCAGATTCAGTCATCTTAAGACATACTTAGATAAATGAACTCTCAAAATGGATAAATGACCTTTTATGCCTTATGTTATTCTGATTTTATTTCTATTTTTTGTTTCTCTATTTCACTGTTTCTATGTTTGATAAATAGGGTGCGAAAATTTGTACAAGCAGGATGTTAGGGAGGCTTGTTAGTCCGACTTCAACTGGAAAACACAAAAGCTTTGTACTGTAGTTACACATATCAAAACAATTAGTGCGGAATGTGAAATCGAAAGCACTCAAAAAAAAATCACTCGATTCCTGCTTGATTTTGCTTGCTCGACCCGGCTAGGAAGTTTCATTGCCCTCTATATGTTCTCTGTTTTGTCAACAGTCTTTAGGGGTACACTAGCTCCATAGATCAATAGAAAACAGAGTTCTCAATATTTTCATATGTTAATATTCCATCTGATGGTAGCACCTAGCCAAGCGATATTGAATTGAAAGCTTTCAAGGTGATGTGATGAATGCCCTAGAACCAATCCACGGAAGGAGACTTTTCAAGGGTAAGACATTGACATAGTAGTAGAGCCTACATATAAAAGCTGGTATGGAAGATTTCAATCAGTTAGTTGTCAGCTTCCATTGATTTTGAAAGAATTTGATGTTTACTTAACCAATGCTATGGTTTGGACAAATTCTTGACCGGCAATTTGATCAGAATCATCACACACTTGGTCTCAAGGCAGGTCTCATCATATGCTCACTTTGATTTTTTATTGTGAGTATGGTATTTGATAAGCTATTTGAGAAGCCAGACTCCACTGACGCGACTAGCTAATTGACTCGTTTTCTAACAGGATGAAAAAACATCGGTGTTTAAATCCTGAGTGACTAGGATCAATCTGCTTCACCTATTTCCAGCAGGAATATGAATACGATCCTATTTGATTTATGTCAGTTAAATGCCTAGAGTGGTCAAGGATTGGTTCAGCGCCTGAATATATGAGTGCTGTGAAGTATTAAAGCCAGTTCAGCTTGTAAGTCTTGCTTTTATCTCCCAAATATCGAACCAGATCATCGACTTGTCTCTTGAAATTGATACCGATTGATGGAGCACCTTTTGATCCGAGTGAAGCTGACGTCTTGTTACTCCGGATATCCATCTCTGCTACTCCTTCTGATGACAAGCAAGCCGGAGCCTGTGAACAGGCCTTCCTCGGGCGTATGCTTACTTGTGGTTAGTGGTGAACCACATTCTTTTCTGATCTGCGGAAGCTCAGAGACCTACAAGACTGTGATGATTGTCGTTGGCATCAGGTGCACCTCTTATTAAGAAAGTGAATTAATATCAGGTAAATACAATTTCACAATGTTTGAATCTCTTCATGTGTCCCATGAAAGCTCTCAAGTGTAGACACTGGTTAAGTTGTGCAATCAGAGTGGAGCAACTAAACTGATTCTTACCCCAAGTTCCTTCATCTGTGACAATAAGGGAAGACTCAGGAGATGAGTCTTTTGATTTCACTTACCCAGATCAATTATTACCCTTGGTTTGATAACAGCCGCCATACTCATTCATGGCTTGCAAATAGCTTAGATAGGGTTTTGTGTAAAATCAAAATTTTCTCATGAACCTGCTGACCTCCCGCCTAGAAAGTTCATTTCCCTCTAATTTCTCATTCCTGATGTCAATTTCGTGGTCTCTTCAACATACCCAAAGTCCCGAACCTTGCACTTTCATGCACTAGGCACTTTCTTGTAGCCTGGATCCATGAGAATAGAATACGCACCGGTCAAGCAGCTAAAAAAACTGGCTTTTAAGCACTTCTCTAATAAAGCTTCGGAATGATTTGCAAATTAAGAGAGGTTAATCAATATAACTGCATGATCAAAAACAAACTAAAAGGTTTTTTAACAAAAAGCAGAATTGTTAAACAGTGTCTGACTCTGTGGGAACTTGATCTTGAGTTTATTGTTCTGCTGAGATGACCTTCAAAGATTAGAAAGAAAGTGAATTGTGTGAAATGTATAGCAATAGTTGATCAACAAAGAATTTCTAAGGTGTTCTTTCCCAAAACCTACGCGGACGCTAGCTCAGCGGGCAAGATGATGGCGATGAAATCGTATTTGATTGTGCTTATATAATCTAGTCTAAAGCTATAATATATGCATGAGATAACAAAGCCTTTGAGAAAACTCAAGGTGATACAAAATGTTTTGCTCGTTTGATCACTTTGAAAAAGGTGATACATATATAAATAAAAACCAATGATTTGAGAAAATGAAGATAATTGAAGTAAGGATCCCACTATTTAGCGCCCCCTCGGCTGATATCCGGAGCCCCCCGGGTTTTCACCAAAACCCGTGTGACCCGCTGACACCCGACTATTTTCAGCCTATATTTCGCACAGTCGGACCTTGGGGGCTCCTCAAGGGCTCTCTAAGAGGGCGCAAACTCGCAAATAGAGCCCCTGATTAATTCTTAATTGACCTGTTTGGTGCCCTTCCATCCTTGATGGGGCAACAAAACTTTATTAAAACAAATAAAAGGGCGCCCAAGTTCTTTCGCGCCCGGACCGGCCCCATTACTGCACAGACATTGGCTCCTCAAGTAAGGGACACATACCCATAATAGCAACTTCCGTCTCTGAAGCTCAAAATATCACCCAATTGCTCAATCACCCATATTTCACCTCATTCTTCATTTAATCATCAAATCCCCTTCTCTATGCCTCATTAACAACCGTCGGATACCGGTGAACGCAATCCGAACTCCCCCTCCAAAAAATTGGACCATCCTACGTTGAATGAAACAGATTCTATGATGAGCGAACTAAGGTCCCTATCATTAGGAAGCTCAATCAAATGGTCTAACTCAAATCATGACCAAGATGATGAATGGATTCAACAACAAAATCAAAGAGCTCTACAACCCAATCAAAGAGCTACGGGAAGAAGCATACTTCAATCGGAACGTACGGCTAGTTGGAACCTTTCGGAAAAAGTCACAAGCTTCCAAGTACTGAAATACAATGTGACATTGGACCACCTTCCAGTGGCTGCTCTTCGGGATCTAACCCTCACATCCCATATCCTCCCATGTATCGCTGAAGCTGACAGATATCTTCATCTTTACTTCCTGTGCGTATGTAGTATACCATGAAGGACTATTCAATGAACATCACTCATCAATTGCCTTTTGTCATGCTCATATGGTAGCGTTATCAGCCCCTTTATTGCTTGTGAGACTGGGTCTTGCTCTGTACAAAAAAACTGCTCAAATCATCCGCATTTCATTCCACTTGAATTGAGAGGCTTTAAAACTGATTTGCTGTTTTTTACGCATTTCTAAACCTTCAAGGTGCAATGAGCGAGATCATAGACGAAGAGCTAACAAGCAACGGGGCACAAAGAGTAGGTTAGATAGGAATGGGAGACGATGTCAAGTGCAAGTATCGAGCACAATTGAATTTGTGGCCTCACAGTCACTAGTCTGTCTCTTATGTTGTACACTCTACTCTATACTTGTGTTGCCTTTTGTGTTTGTTTTTGTAGCTCTCCTGTCCTACTCGTTCGTTTCGACTTTCTAGCTCTTTTAGCTTTCTAGTTCTGATTCCTATATCTGATGTTGTATCTCTCCCTCAATTCTTCCTTATGTTGTATGAACCCCCTAAATCTATGTATACCTTCCTTGAGTTTAGGATACATATATGCCATGGTCTTGTGTACTCAAGTGCAATAGTGGCTCGTCGGACGCTATAGTGAACTGAGAAACTCTGCTCTCCCCTCGACATAGTTTCTTAGCTTCTATCCTTATACTTGGACTGTACATATACGTAGCGTGTACAAAACAAAACGGCGAGGTCAATGGACATTGGAGGATGAGTAGGGGGCAATTTTATTTGAGGAGGAAGCCCGATTTTTTCAAACAAGGAGCCCTGTTTGAAAAAAGGGGCAGCTAAATTGTTTGTAGCCTGGTGTCCGACCCGAGAGGGGGCGCCGGATACTGCTCCGAGGGCTCTAAATAGTGGGATCCTTGAAGTAAATCTAAAAACCAAACTTTATTCTTCTTTAGGATGAAATTCAGCTGGATTTAATTCTGATCCAACCGAAAATGAACCTTTAGGAAGTTGTATAGTTTCTAAAGCGCCAGGTGCCAAAGGGATCTTTAAAACACTTTGCTCAGGTTCACTTCCTTTCAACCAGAAATGAACGATTTGCTGAGTCTTTTCTGTATTTCTGACAATCATCGAATGAGTATCCGGTAGAACTTGTTTGATATAAACTCCTGATGATAACTTCAAGTTGGGTGAAGCTGTATACCACCATTTGGCGGCTTGTTGTGGAAGACTAGGACAACCGATTCTTGTGATCAAAACAGTCAAAATGAAAAATGAAATCTTCTAGATGGATTGAAAGATCTCATTAGTGTTCCTGTTCAAAAAGAGCCTTATGGTTTTTTTTGTGAAATTTGACAAACGGGGAAATCAATAGCCTGGAATTGCATCGTAGAGGGTTGGAAAAAACTGAGTCTTGATTCACGTTTTTTTATCGTGAAGGTCTACGCCAATTAAAATTCGATCGCTCGCTCCTGGTCACAATGATGACGAATGCAGATTGGCGTATTGTACGAGAAAACCGAAGAGGTTTGGAATTTTTGGATGACTAAGATTATCTGTGTATGTACTCACAAAATCGAATGAAGTCTACAAGGATAAAGACGCGGCTTATTTTTTTTGGCAAGTTGGAGATTCAGACCAAGAGTTCATTCCTCAGCAACTCTCATATATATGTACATTTAGGTCTCGGAAATTGAGTACAGTGAAACTTGGTCCGCTTGAGTCCTATCTGTTAATTGAAGGCTCCGGAAAAGTGTGCAATTGCTTACCAGACTTGAGACATGATTGACTGAGCAACTGTAGTAGATAACAAAAGAAATATTCCATTTCGAACATCTTACGCGTCTTTTCAAGTCCATAACAAGAATCCTTGAAACCTTTTATCCAATCAGACCAACCTACTACAGCGAACCAGACACGTTACTGGATGATGGCGATTATCGATGTATTTGCTTTCAGTCGGAATTCGTACGAGATATGTTGCAAGAACATGTTTTGATGGTCGAGTTATTAGTCAATGAACGGCTCAAGTTTGTTTCTCATCTCTCTCTTCCCTCTCTTTTGTGTAACTCGCACTGACAGGGATACATACGAAACTCTGATTCGATTCCCGATTTAGATCAGTTTCTAGGGCTGCAACTGGTTTGAATCTGAAATTCAATTAGACCTGATAAGACCTCTTGTAGCCTCTTGTTCTTTTGATTCGACGGTTTCAAATTGGTTTGTACGTACACAATTTTTAGACTTATCGAGAGTAAGGTGGTTCAACCGGAGCGGCGAGCTCGAGGTTCCGCTTGGGTGATGATATGTATAACAGACCATTGAATGATCATGTTCATCGATTTGTCTTTCCCGGTAAAGATGTCACGGTGAAAAACTTGCTTAATCGATCTCTCTGATCCGTTTTCTACTCTTGCTTCGGGCGTTTTCGATTCGATTAACCCGATTGCAGGCTGGTGGGCGTAGCCTCACAGTTGGTCATCATTTTTTTTCGCCAAAAGCGCATAATCGATTTATATTGCATAAAACATTAACGAAACCAAGTGCAGACAAGAGAAGATGATTCAGAAAACAGCCATTTAGAGCGCGTTCACTTCTGATTTTCCACGCTGTCTTGAATGTCAAGAAATCACATTCTGTGAAATGTGTTTGATTTCTTAAATACAAGCATTTTGAAAATGCAGAATGCTTATAAAAAGTGACTTTTTGGGACATTGCAAGAATTCGCCATTAGCACATTCTTGTCTACAAACATTACATTCCTGTGATTTCTTCTTATAACCTTCCTTTTCCCAAATCTCGACAAGTCCCTGTCTACCATACGGACAGTCAATCTACAATACAGAACCTCATCTTTGCTCACCTTCACTCACCTTGACTCCACTTTGCTCAACTCAACCACCCAATATGCCAGATTCAGATGACAGCGGCAACAGAGTCAATGTGAGGGTTGGGTATTCAAAAGGATACTCAATGCCCACCAAAGGTGTTCAAGATAGTTTGCAATCTTAAATAATTATATGTATATTTCAATATAATGTAATTACAATAAGATTATAAGGAAAAAAAAGGGGGAGGGAGAAGGGGACTGGCCTGTTTGGGTAAATCCAGACAGGCTACAGTTAAATGACTCCTGAAGAGGAGATTATAATGATAGAGATTATGAAAGCTGGATCCAGGGCTTTCCTTCAATCTTCAAAGTGACTGATTGAAGGGTGAGGTATAGAGTCACTAGTCTGGTTGTTACAAAGTCTGTGAATATGTTTGGAGTCTTGAACCACGGTCTGATAAAAGTGCAATGTGCACGAGTGAGCTACGGTCCTACAAGTTGTCTATACTAAAAGCTCTGACCTAAGACATTAAACAACAGAAAAGATTAGTCAAACAGAAATAGAGATGAAATCTAATAATATCTAATCTACCTGAAAGGAAGGTACAGATTTCAAGATAGACGTGATTAGTTTTATCTATCGAATGCGATAGGATCTCTGGGTGGCTAAAAGAGCAAAAGTCTAACAGGAATATAACAGTTCAACAACGTGATAACATAGCAAAACAAAAAATGAAAAATGACTTACTTCTCTTTCCAAAGATGGGAAAGAGAAGTAAGATTGGGAAAACAGGAATCATATAAGTATCTCTTGATTCGTCTTCATAATTTTGATTGGGGTAATTGAACTGCACATCTTCTACCAAAAACTAAAACGAGCACTCTTCCTCAAAGCACAACATCACTTTCTCACAACCTTAACAAAACACATTTCCATACTGTATACTGACCCTTTTCATGTTTCGTCGATTGGGAATTTCAACAAAGTCACCAACTTATGGTTATTCAAAAGGTGCACCAACCTGAGAGTTGATATAGGTCACTAACCTACGGTTGTTCAGAAGGTACACCAACCTGTGAGTTGATATAGGTCACTAACCTGCGGTTGTTCAAGAGGTAACTAACCTTGAAGTTAATTGGAAGGTCACTAACCTAGAATTGATCTACTTAGGGAAAGTAGAGGATCCAGAAGAGGAAGAAAGAGATTACTTTATCTTTTAGTCAGGAAGCTGCTTTAAAGATATGAAGTGAATCACTAGTCTTATTATTATAAGACTTTTGATTATGTACTTCAATTGAACTTTAAAGGGTTCTTTAAAAGATGTGTGTAATAAATTGCTTGGGGCTCTCCCTGAAGGCTGAGAGAGGAGGGGTTTATATACTCTCCTCTCCAAACCTAACTGTAGTGATATTTGTTTGTATCACTACTGTGGTTTAGGGTTTAGTGATCACTATTAGTTATCATTATTATTAGTCTTACATAGCTACATATATGTGTTATGTAATTTATGTAGTATAAGCATTTTAACTCTTGACACTGAGTTATGAGGTGTAATTGGTGTTTTATTACATATTACACATGTTTTTAAATGTATATGTATATGCAATTGATGTTTGTATATGTTTTATTATATGTTACACATGTTTTATAAGCTGTATGTACATGTAATTAGGTTTATAAGTGAGAATTATATATTATAAGTTAGTTTTGGGTACATGTATATGTACCCGGGGCTGACAGTCAAAGTAGTCCCATTGAATTCAAAAATGGAATTAAAATCAAACTCAAAATCAAGATTTACATCAAAAGACAAATCAAAAGACAAATCAAAAGTCAAATCACAAGATGAATCACAAGATGAATCAAAAGATGCAGAACCAACCAAGAGGAGTGGAACATGGGAATACAGACATACCTTGTATCTTATTGATGTTATCAAGCAGGAAATGGACCTTGGAAAGGGCGACAATGGCGGCCTCAAGTCCGACACCTGGGGTCAAGTTTGTACCAATTCCAACACAAAATACAAAGTCCAAGCAAGTTTGACCAAATTAAAAAACCACTTTCAAAAGGTCAGTATTGATTATCTTCTTTCATTTTCCCTTTCAGTACAATTGAACAATTTACTGACTTGATGCTTCTATACACAGTTCAAGATCACTCACAAGGCCTTTTATAAGATAATCAACTCATCTGGTGCACCTGGAACTGATAGAGCAACTGGCAAAGTTAAGGCTGACAAGGAGTGGTGGGAACGTTGGATCAAGGTAAGATATTTACCAAATTGAATTCATATATCTTTATCCATTGCATTTCTTTGATTATAGAATGGAAATCCCAATGCAAAGCCAATTCAACATAGGGGTTTTCCAGCATATCAAGCAGTATCAACAGTTACGTGCAAGAAGCACTTACAAGCCATTGGTAAAAAAGTGTTTGGAACTCAGACCAAAAAGAAGAAAATACCCTCACTGAGTGAATCAGACAAGCACAATGAAGGTATGCCTTGTTCATTTCATCTGTGCATACTTGATTACAAAACTAATTACTTTTAATCAATGATCAGCTGATGTAGCATCTAGACACAAGTCCAATGAAGGTGGCTCTCATGTGTCCGACTCTGACAAGGACTCAGAAGGACCCTGGAATGCACCTACAGAGGGTAGTGACAAAGCCCAATTTTCAATTTGTGGGCTCTACACTGCACAACACTCATTCTCCCACAATCCCAAGCACCACAAAAGATGCACAAGGAATGGGGCTATCAGATGATCTTGTTCTGACCCCTGTATCTTGGCCCACTGCGACGTAAATCACAAAGGCACAAAAAGATTTTGGACCCCAAGGCCCAATTCCGACCTTTGATTTTGGCTATTTTTGGGCTTTACACTTGAATATCTCGGGGATTATTGGCGCTATAGGGTTGAAATTTAGTGCATACAACAGCTCTGGTTCTTGCGCTTCTTTTGCGCCCCTGTAGCAAAAGAGAAGTGTGATTTTGTACCCAAGAAACCTGTTACAAAAAGGTTGGAATCTACGTCACTAACCTCCGTAGGTGCATTCCAGGGTGCTGACTCAGCTATTGAGGAAATTGAAAGTAGGAGACCAGCTTCTTCACAAAAGAAGATACACCAGGGGGTAAACTTCCTCGGCCTCCGATGGTTCTGGATAGGTGTCCAGGAATCTTGTTGCCAGAACGAAGACACAGCCGTTCCGGTGACGAAATGAGGATAACCGTGTGAGAATCAGTTGCTTTCACCGGTTTTTGTGGGTTCAAAACGACCAAAAATTGCAGTCAAAGATGGTATGAAGGTTGGTCAAGACTCGCATGAGACAATACCTTGAGCCAAGTGCAACCATCTGGTTGTGATGCGATGTGTTTGACCTCGTCAGTCTTTGCTCGGCTGAGCTGTCAATCAATGGGTCCAGCACTCTTGAATACAGCTTGCTTTTCGGTGACTTCTACGTGATCGCAGCGTTTTTGCTTCGTAAAACCTGGACACCTTCTGGACACGTTCCAAAACAATTGAAATGTCATAACGTGTCTGCAACGCTATTGATTCTGGTTTTGGAACGTGCCACTTACCCCCTGGTGTAACTGCTGAATGTCTCAAAGTTCATTTTCCTCAATCTATATCTTTCAACTCTAATCAATTGACTCAATTCTAATCATTCAAATTAGCATCATCAATCATTGATCCCAATCAATCAATTCAATTATCAATCAACTCAAAATCATCTATTCAATTTCATTATTGTTCAATTTGATCATCATCAAGTCATTTACCAATCAATTTGATTATCATCAGCAATCAATTAAATTATCATTATCAAATCAATAATTATTCTATCCATCAGCATTGACTGCAACTGCCGAATGATCATGTGTCACTGGATCAAAGCTAGTTGGCCATTAAATCAATTCAGCTGTTGATTGAGTAGCAGGAATAGAGGAGCAACACAACAGTGATAAGTTCACCATTGCCAAAATTAAATTAGAACAACATTCAAGGCGACAAGAAGACATGGCACCTGTGGCACTTCTTTCCATCGAGTAAAAACCCGACCACATACTGTGCAATACCGTCGACCGTAGAGCCGATGCTCTCTGCCAGATCACTTAAGATCGCTCAGATCGATTTCCGATGTACTGCAAATCATGAACAAGTCATTTTCCAAGTATATCAAACTTTCAAAAGGGCTTCAAACAATCCCAATCTATGTTCAAAGTCCCAAAAAAGCGACAAAAAAAAAGTCATTTGGGGACTTTCAAAATTTGTAAGTCCCCAGATCAGTCTGAGCGCCTCAGATCAATCTGACCGCTCCTCAGATCAATCTTACAAGACCACAGATCAATCTGAAGCGCTCAGATCAATCTGAAGCGCTCAGATCAATCTGAAGCGCTCAGATCAATATGAAGCGCTCAGATCAATATGAAGCGCTTAGATCAATATGAAGCGCTCAGACTGATCTGATGAGATCTCACTCTGGCAGAACGCTCTAAAGACAGATTGATCTGGATGATTCATCCAGATCAATCTTGCTGAGTCGAGGTACTTGGCCTCACACAGCCTCGATCTGCCTCGATTGTGATTGCAAAGCAAACAAGATCTCACATTGCGTCAGTGTGAGTTGTCAACTCTCGGTTTATAAGATAACCCAAAGAGCACTCTGTAGAACACTCAAGGTATCAACAGGTATCAACTAAGATGTATGTTATGAAAGAAGATGATCAAATTTCCCAAACAACTCTGATCTTGTTAGAATGAGTGATTTCGATGCAGTCAACCAAACTCACCTTGAGATCGTTTTAGCCCCCACACTCATACTTGCCCCTTGAGCTATTCCACAAAACATTCTCATTCCAGTAATATTGAGTTTGTGTCACATCATCTTATTCATCTATGATGTTTGCTCATCAAAATTCGCCTCACCTCAACCTTTGTAGACTATATTGAGTTTGTATCGCATCATCTTATTCGTCTATGATGTTTGCTCATCAAAATGCGCCTCACTTCAACCTTTGTTTTAGACTCTGATGTCACTCACTCTCATTTGCTGATTAAACTCACTGAAAAAAAAACTCATCCATGTACATAGACTATATTGTGTTTGTATTTGTGACTTATTAATTCATATAGAGTAAATTGGTTGCACCGTAAAATATAAAGGAATAAAGGAAGAGACGATTCAATTTCAAAATCACAATTCAATTTAACATCATCAAAGTGAAGGCTCTCCACGGCTTTGAAATACAGGGCAGGCACAAAACTGAGTTGAAAACAATTAAAAAAAACATGGGTTGAATAAAATAAAAGTTTCACCTGATACCTGTTGAGCAAGGAATAACTCAGTTTGAACAAGTTGACCAAAAACCTATAAAGAGCAACAGACTTACATGGGGTTGTTGGTAGTCCTACTCTTCAGCACTGCTATCTTCATCACTACTTGTTCCAGATGTTGACTCGGATGAATCACCTTCTTCCTTGCCTTCTTCATCGGTCTCAGTCTCAGTCTCCATTTCTTCTTCGTCATCAATGTTGTGTTTCCTTTTATTTTTCTTCTGCTGATGTTTCTTCTTCTTGTTGTCTGCTGTTCCAAGGGAAGAAGTAGTATCTTTGTTTAAATTTAAATCAGTGGCAGTTGAATTGAGTGTAGACGAGGTGGATTGTTGTTTGTTGTTTGATTTCTTTGGACGCTTCTTAGATGGCTTCTTAGATTTTGTTGACCGGGGTAACATCTCACTTTCCGGTATCTTTTGAAGTTTGAAATAACCATTATCAATATCGCTTAGCCAACTTTGCTTCATTCGATCATCACATCCTCTAAAACCACGAAGTAGCTGAAATCCCTGGAGGGTTGATTTTGCCTCATCGCGAACAATTTGGACAGGCCAACCTTTTTCCAAAAATTTGCTCGCTGGATCCGGTACTTTTGGAAATTTTTGCCCAGGCATAACTTCATCTATTATATTTTCAGAAACCATAGAATCAAAGCAGTTCGTCAGCTGACATGATACATACAGAAATGAGATTTTTTAGCAAAAGGTCACAAAATTGAAATTGTGTCCATACTCATTAAATTGTTCAGCTTTTGAGTGAGCAGACCCCGTCTTGCATCTGTGGGTTGTGGTTTTTTATTTTCTCTTTCCATGGCGGCTGCTAGACCATGGACGTAGACCTTGAACTTCTCAGGTACCTTCAAGACATCGAGTGCCCAGTCTGCAAACTTTGCATTCGTACATGCCACCTCAGACCATCCATCTTGACTATCGCAACTAGCCGCTGTCAAATAATAGTTGATATGAAACCTTTGACATTCAACTGCAAACTAGAACGATACAAGAAAAACATGTGAAAAAGTACTTGTAGGAAGAATATCAAAAGCATAGCCAACTTACTGAGTGATGCGCTTTACGAAATGCTGCTAATGATTTCAGCTGTAATGTAGAAACTGAGTCGGATGATGTTGGCTCTCCATGAGTCGTGTGAACTTTTTGGACATCAACAAGTTTATCGAAAAGGGGCTGGTATTTCTGTCTCTCGTCTTCTGAAAGTTGGTGAACCTGAGGAGCCAAGACTTGAGCGGCTTGATCTTCTTCGATCTCCTCCTCGCCGTAGCTGTTGGTATCGGCTGGCTGCTTGGACAAATCAGGAAGCTTTTCTAGCGCAAAGAAGTACGGGTCTTCAAATATATTTTTTTCATCTTTGCTCATATCGTCCCATAAATCACTAAGTTTCTGATTACGAGTCTTCCAGCCAGTACGGTCACTGCGTGGTGGGACTGAAATTGAAGAAGACTGTTAAGGTATAATATCCACAATTAAAAAGAATCAATCACTCACGTTTCTCTTTGAGCGCTTCTTTTCCAAATGCTAGAAATCTACTATATCGGTTGGGTCCAACAGTCTTGGGAGCCACATTTCTGTAGGCAAACATCGGGCATCAATTGACATGGATGAGAAGATAAGTTGACAAGTCTGAAAATACATACACTAAGTCCCATATGACAGCCTCTGAAACCCCACCCATTAGCGCAGCCATCAATATCCTCTTTTCATAACCTATTCGGATGATTTTGATGAGGTTCTGAATATCTTGATGAGCTCGAGTTCGATTATGAGATTTGTTCTTTTTTTGATCAGCTATAGCTTGACGGAGGTCAGCAATCGTCCAGTTTTCTAATTGTTGCTCGTATGTGAGAGGGGTGAGGGATGGGAAGCATGAGGTGAAAGCTGATTGGGTTGAGCGGGCTTGGTTTGAAGAAGGATTAGGGCGAGCTTCGGTTCGAGGTTGATTATCTTCGGTTCGAGGTTGATTATCTTCGGTTCGAAGTCGATTCTGTTCATCTTGAATATGATTCAGATCTCTGGTATGATTATTGGCACCTTGTTCGTTCGTGAGGATGGGTGATTCTTCTTCATCTCCCAGTGGGCTAGCTTGATTATCTTGGTTTGATTTAGATTGTTTTGAAGCTGACTGAGTGGTTTTTTTTGATTTGCGGGCTTTTTTAGAAGCACTCTTGACAGTTGTATCAGTGGTTGGTTCGGTGGTTGGGTCGGCAGTGCGTTTCTTACCTGAGCGCATGATGGGATTATAAATGGTTGATGTTGGATGTTTCGAAAGGCCGACAACCTGGATGGGGAGACAAACATCTTCTGAAGAGTACCCGAGCTACTGATGTTCAGGGCCGGTCAGTCTGGCAACAGCATGTATCAATCTGTTCTTACACGCCCTCAATTACGTATCCTGGACGTAAACTGAAACGATTGAACATCGCGAATCTCATTACTTGTACTCGACATATATCTAGAAAAGGGATCTGTATGTTTTGCAATTGTGTTATCAATCATAAGTTCAATCAATTGTAACCTTCAGAATTCCGCAGAATATCATCTCAAATGCCAACATCTCAGTGTGGCATCCTTTGGCATAGGTATGTTCAATTTGGTATCAATTATTTTGAAGTTTTGCAAGCTCACTAGATACAAATTGCATGAAATGTACACCGTGATTGAAATCTATTGAAACAGAGTCCAAATTGAGAAGCTTATGTGGACCTCAATTGATGGCATACTTTCAACTCACTCGGATCAGAATGCTGTTAAATATTTCCGGTGAACAGGTGACGGAGTTATAAGATTGGTCAATCAAATATTTGAAGGGTGTTCAAGTACACACAATCAAGCTTCACAATTGATGTTTCTTTGTTTTGAAGATTGGAATTACCTTCATTTATGATGAGTTGATTGACAAGAACATATCATTGAGAACATAATAAACCCCCTGATTATTTTTGTTAGGTGAAAAATGAGAATTTTCAACATGAATATTGATAAGTTGATGATAGAAATCATGTAATCAATGATACTGATATGAAAATGATGTCAAAGTTGTATAATGCCGTCTTGACATCATTATCCCTGGTTTGAGGATTGTTCATTACATTCAAGAATATATGTTGACCTATGGGCACAACATATCTGACCATAACCTTGCCTACAAAGGTTTTGTGGAGGGTATATTGGTGTTCACGGAATTTTGTTTGCAACATCACAGTCATTACGCACAAGTGAGTTGTTGGTGGTGATTTAAACACAACTTGTTTGACCTTCCTCCGCAAGTAGATTGGGCGGCATATTTCAATTCACAGATTTGTTTTGGGAAACCTTAATTTTGAACATCTTGTTGTTGATGCACAGCAAGTTGATAAAAACTCTTACTTTTAGCCATCATTACGCACATGTGAGTATTTTTCTACAACAACTTTTTCTACACTCCTCCAAGGTTGTTTTGGGTTGTATTTTTGTAATCACAGGACTTTGTTTGGCCTATGACAACCTTATCTTAACATACCTTGTTGTTGATGCACAGCAAGTTGATAAAAACTCTTACTTTTAGCCATCATTACGCACATGTGAGTATTTTTCCACAACAACTTTTTCTACACTCCTCCAAGGTTGTTTTGGGTTGTATTTTTGGAATCACAGGACTTTGTTTGGCCTATGACAACCTTATCTTAACATACCTTGTTGTTGATGCACAGGAAGTTGATAAAAACTCTTACTTTTAGCCATCATTACGCACATGTGAGTATTTTTCCACAACAACTTTTTCTACACTTCTCCAAGGTTGTTTTGGGTTGTATTTTTGAAATCACAGGGCTTTGTTTGGCCCATCACAACCTTACCTTAACATACCTTGTTGTTGATGCACAGCAAGTTGATAAAAACTCTTACTTTTAGCCATCATTACACACATGTGAGTTTTGGGTATTTTTCCACAGCAACTTTTTCTACACTCCTCCAAAAGTGAAATGGTTTGTAGAAGTATGTTTGGGAGATTGTTTTTCCTATGGCAACTTTGCTTTACATCAACTCATTATTGATGTGAAGAAAATGACTTGTGTTCCACTTAACCAATCACCTGAACAAGTATACAACCATTTAAGCAACACGTGTTGTGAAGAATTCCATCTGCAAACAACCCGTCAGAGTCACACGAGTGTGACTGTCTTTCAACTCAACTGTCTCCAATAAACTTGTTCACTATGAGTTCATCAAACAACACTAAACAGATTTCTCAAATTCAAAACAACATTTTTAAATACTGATCTAAGGCCAGATCCATTATTTCAAGAGGGCAATTGTGTCATAACTACACAATTACATCGATGATGATGACTTTCAATGATACACATGATGGTCACAATGCGTGCTTCTTCAATTCCACAAATAGTGAGCTGGTAGGCTTGGAGGTATTGTCCCTTTCAACATCGGTTGCTTGATGTTTTAATCACTGCGGCAAGTTTTATGAACGTGCAGTTGAGTTTATGTATAGTACTATAGTTCTTTGACAGTTTATCATAGTATCTTGACAGGACCCGACCTGCTCTCTGAAAATTCCAAACCACAGTAGAGTAGCTTGACTAGCGTGAAATCACACACCTCCAATACATTCAACGGCGATTTCATCATCGATAGCCAGGGCTGTCATGGTTGTGCTGATCGTCTGAAAGTGTTTGACCTTTGACCAAAGGGGAAGACTTACCCAAAAAGGAAATTGAATTTTAATCACTGAATTTGATCTCACAAAATAGGTGTTCCCCAAAGCGTGTCAAATCAGATACAAGAATTTCATCTCACCTTTCAAGATGGTTATGCCTGCCACAACCATTTGTATGCCATGGAAACGGAAAATCAAGAGAAACCGAAGACCAAACAACGACATAGCTCGCCAACTAGCTGAACTCCAAGCTCGTGAAGCTGCGGCCTCCAGTTCAATCATCAACAATGTCTTAATGCATATGGCGGAACCGGATGATGACGACAAAGATCGCCAAGGTGCCCCTCACGGTCTAGATCCACAAGTCAAATACAACAATCTCAATCGTACAAACTCAGGAAGAAATCCTTTCTCTGATGATGATGAAAGTGACTATGACGGAAACGGAAATCTAAATCAACTTCAGCGCGAGTCGTACCAGGACAGAATCCTTTGGGAAGAAGAACAATGGCGAGAGGTGTTGCCTGCTATGTACATACAATTCATTAAGTGCTCTCGGAAAACTTTCCAGTGGGGGCATCCTCAGTTATGGAATCAAGACTGGAAGGAACCTTGTTGGTGCTCCGGTACGAGGCTAAGACCACCCAAAAAGATTGTCGTATTCGATATTATGTGTACGTTTGTCTTTCGTTACCTGATGAATCGATAAGTGGTGTTGATGATTGGTACAGATCGAAAGGAAATATCTGTAGACTTCTGTTCGTGCCATTCGGATTCGGAGAGACTTGTCATGATGGGCTTAATTGGTGGCACTGCCAAAAATCCATGTACCGCTTTCAGTATTCGGCTCATTCGTCTATACCAAATACTCTGGAAACTCTGCAGTGTAAGGATCAAACCTTTTTGTGAGTCATTGGACGAGTTTCTCGATGCTCATAATGCAATGATACTGGTACCAAATGGAAACAAAGTAAGTTCCGGTTTGAAAGTGCATGATTCTCATCACTAACCGACTTGTTTTTTTGGTATGTAGCCTCGAGAATGGCGGAAGCCTTTCTCTTCGGCTGTGGATGCTTATCGCGATTTCCTACGCCGGGATATGGAGTATGAGAATCTTGCTCTCAAACTTACAGAGGTCGAAAAGCTTGCACTCAACTGCCCGCGCTGCTTTGGACCTACAGTCAAAGGAAAAAGGCCGGCGGAGCCCGATGTAATCGTTTCCTTGGATGGAAACTTTCAACATCGTCGTCATTTGGCAGCAAGTGCCCAATGGCGCAAGGAAAGTGCAGTGAAGCCATCTCTATTTGTACCTGACGATCACATCAAAGAATGGGAAGAACGAATTGGGCAAAAACAGCAGTGTCGAAAAAAAAAGGGAAAAAAGGGTGTGATAAAGGATGACTTGGTGGTATGATCAATTTGTGAATTTCAATTTTCATACATTCTACTTATACTGTTTGACAGGACCCTTGCAGTGCGAGTCATACCACGGCAAACGATGTGAGAGGAAAACAAACCTGGAGTGGATGTGACGAGACCGGCATTTTCGGAATGGCATGCCGGCACGACCACATTTTGAAGTTTATCAACATTGTGCAAAGTGGGGAGCGGTTAGTCAAATCCAACTTACATATGTGTAATCTTGAATAAGCTTGGTGAATTGATTTTTTGGTTTGCTGGGTGATATGCAGAGGGCACTTCCCAGTTGCGATGATCGACTGGATGTTCAAACAACTTGAAGATGCTGATGGAGATCGTAAGAAGCTTGCAGTTCTGTATGACATTGGATGCAATTTAACAAAAGCAATCAAAAAGGTATTGTCATTTTATTACCAAAGGTCTTGTTTATTCATGATCTCAATCTTTCTTTGTTTTGCCTGGTAGAGGAAGCTGTTCCCGGACCAAATGGCTGCTGGTGAACTGAAAATTGGTACAGGGGCGTGGCATTCATATGCTCACATAAGGTCGTGCCAGTTAGAGTATAATCCTCGGTTGAATGATGATTGGGGTATGTCGGATGGCGAAGGTCTAGAGAGAATATGGTCTGCCTTCTCAGATCTAGTGGCTGCTCTACGCTATACTACAAAAGATCATCGGCTTTGTAGCTTAAACCTCAAAGGCCTTTATCATAACGAGTCCTTACGGTTCAACGCTGGTGCGTACTCCAATAACTCAATGTAATTGCACTGCAAGATCTCACAACAGTTTTCCGTACAGTTGATTCCATGATTCGGCGTCTAAATGAAATGGAAAAACTATATGATGACAGCGGGGACAAGCTCACCAGTTTGAGCGTAGATGCTCAATATACCACTGAATATTTCAAATCCCAATGGCGTCGTCAGCGACAGTGTCAGCTGAATGTTATCGTAACAGAAGGAATGGAACACTTGATGAATAAGCTTTCTCACTTGGTTGGGCTAGAGGAAGCTCTCAGTGAAGCCGAGTTAATGATTTTCTGACATTTTCCAATAGTTTTTGTTTCTACTGACTCTATTTCTACTCTAATCAACAGACGCGAGCTAAAAGGGCTTCGAAGGAAGAATAAAAAAAAACGAAACCAAGCTGACGAAGAGCACATTTTAGCACTGCCCGATACACTGGCCACCTTGAACGCAGAAATCTTGGCAGTGGTTGACGAACTGGGAGGAGATGAATTCCGCAACGTACCTGAAGCATCCAGTGAGTAATCCAATTTCTCAGTAAGCAACAAAGTCATTGTCTTACTTGATGATTTCTGCCACGCAAATTTCTTTTGCAGCTGCTGAGGGGAAGAGTTTAGTCTGCTTGCGTGTGGCAAAAGGGAGGCTATACGAGGCGAAGGTTGGAGTGGTGGAGGCAGAAAAACAAGCTAATGAGAGGCATGGTACGTCTTTATTGTACGTACTGTTTTGAAAAAAAGTAATAAATGTCAATTCATCAGGTACACGTGAGCTACAGAGGCACAATAAACTGTTACGAGCTAAAGAGGTCGATCTTGGGAAGAAGTTCAGAACACTTGACAGGCTGGTATTAGCTTTCAATCAGAATTTCCCCCAAAAGGCAATTGATTGGTATACACTTGATGAAGTGAAAAGTATGCCAATCACGCACAATTTTTGGGATGTTGGTCGACTTACCCATCCCGATGAACCATGGGCTTGTGATTTGAAAACTCAACACGGCATCACAGCATTCCTCGAAAGAAGTCATTCTGGGGATGAGCTGCGTAGGATTGCTCGAGAGTGCCGTCAGATGATCAAATGGGCTGTTGTGACAGATCAGAAGGTCACACAACTAGAGATCACAGCTTTTAGTGAAGGTGTGTTCATGCAATACAAACATCACATCAAAACATTTACCTAACTGAACAGCGATTGAGTTGAATAGATGATTCAGTCGACACAGTTGAAAACAAATGGGTGATGTCGATTGTAGGTTCTAAGAAGACACAACTGTCAGAAAACTTGGCCGAGAGCAAAGAAGTCCTGCAATCTCTGGTCTCTAATCTCATTCGAAATTATACACGCTTATGGATGCGGTGGAATTGTCGACTAGAAGAGATTCGTTTTGCCTCAATGCAGTATTCGGACCTACCAATTCTGGAAGAAGCTACACTTCAGACAGCATGGAATGAACTAATTGAAAGGAACAAAGGAAGGTGGGTAAAGATTGTTCAGGCAGATGTCATCCGTGCAGAGGATGACGAGCCTATTGGTGATGATTTCATTCATCATTAGACAGTTTCATCTTTATTCTACCACTGGTCCACCAATCTGATGTGCGCTTCACCAGAAATGCATCCATTCACTTTGATTGATCATGTGGTCAATAACTTTCAATCCCTCGTAATTCATCTCAGATTATTTGAATACTTTGTATCTAATTGTTTCGATGAGTCCTGAAACAAACTTTATAAATTATAATGAAACGCGAGGATTGAGAAAGGGGTGTTCTTTGAAAGACGCGAGATGCTTTGAGATGGTGAAGAAGGACATTGATTGAGCATCAATCAAAGAGAATATTGATCAAACTCTCCACCTCCAGCGTGAGATCTCCACGTATTGATCTTGATCCGAAATCTTGCAAAATTGATCTGTGGTCTTGTAAGATTGATCTGAGGCGCTCAGACTGATCTGGGGACTTACAAATTTTGAAAGTCCCCAAATGACTTTTTTTTGTCGCTTTTTTGGGACTTTGAACATGGATTGGGATTGTTTGAAGCCCTTTTGAAAGCTTGATATACTTGGAAAATGACTTGTTCATGATTTGCAGTACGTCGGAAATCGATCTGAGCGATCTTAAGTGATCTGGCAGAGAGCATCGGCTCTACGGTCGACGGTATTGCACAGTATGTGGTCGGGTTTTTACTCGATGGAAAGAAGTGCCACAGGTGAGACATGGTTATCTTCAATAAAGAATGTGCAAAATAATTAAAACCTCAACATATTATCAAAATAGCTAATGAATTAAAAAAGATGATACTGCTTCATTTTCTATCATATGGATAAAAAATATGGATGGGGCTGGTTGAAGAGTGAAGCTGGCATATTACAAGAGTATCAGGAGGTAGATGAATGATTATTCACTGGTTATGTATCTCATTTTCTATCATCTCCTAATTTGTTTCTCAAAACTCAAACAAAACATTAAACATCCAGATAAATGAAAAAAAATCATTTGCTTGATTTCCTGATTTGTGCCTCAGACTCAGAACTCAAACAAAAAAATAAAACATGTATATTACAGTAATCAAACAGTGCTGTTTTCTCTTTAAAAATGATAAAACTTTGCTTCTAATGATGATACAAATAAGGTAAAGCTTGTGAAGGAGACAGTATTAATGAATACAATGAGATGGTAATTTGTAGTTTAATGATGAATAAAAATGTACAATAACATCTTGAGACTTTCCTACACACCACAGGTGCATGGATATGATCATAAAAAATCCTTTCTGCCAGATGATGTCTTTGTTCAGTTGCTTGAGTATGTGCAGTAGTAGTGGGCTCAACCTGGTCAGGAATTAAATTATCACCTCCCAATCTTGTTTTGAACCGTTGTAGAACTTATAGCCAAACAAGGGTTATAGAGAGCTGGAAGAGGATAATCTACTAGTAAGATAAACTAATAGAAGTTGTCTAAGGACCGCTCTTCTAAAACAAGACAATCAGAAAGGAGAACTTCTGTTGAATTGAGTACTGATAAGGAACAAGACATATCTAACTGATTTTTGATGAAGAAAAAAGCACCTGATCTGATTAATCTCAACACAATTTTTGTGTTATTCCATTCGAGTCAAAATGTAGAAAAAATAAACTCAATATATTTTTGATATCAATCCAGAATGACAATGTCATATAAAGCACATAAAACAAATTTCTCCTCTGACAAAGGGCTGGTTTGAGTGACCTAGTACTGTTATAATAAGTTTATAATGATAAAAATGAACAAATCTCTGTAAGAGATGAAGAAGAAAAGGAAAACAATTTTGCCAAAAGCACACAAATTCATATATATACACATCAATACAAATTGTTAAAGTGGTAAACATCAGGTTGTGGGCGCACTCATATTTTTGTAGGTGCACCAAGGCGTTTTTTTTTGGTTTTTTTGCGCCTAGGTGCCACTTGGTGCGCCGGGCGCATTTTCCTACAAATGAAAATCACCAAAAGCCAAAATATCATTCTTGTATTATTATTTATTCTATGTTTGTATTGTCAGAGCTGTCTACTATGGCAGAATTGACTTTTTAAGGTGAGAAAAGCTAAGAAAAGCTGACATCAAAGCTCACAGCAAGTATCCAAGTCTCCAATATTGGTGACAGGACATAGAATTCCTAAAATTTGGTGTGATTCTTGTGAAGCTTTGCCAACCCTCATCCAACGTGTAGGCGCACCCACAACCTGAGGTAAACAGCACTTAAAAACCCTCTTTACCATATCAAAAATAATAAAATGAAACAAAATAATGATCCTATTAATATTACTAATTCAGTAAGCAATTTGCATATTAACACTCTTCAATTTTGTCTACAACTTGTTTCTAACATATTACTAATGATAATCGATCTTCTTATGATCAATCTTCATATAGATTGGCTTATAAACACCCATTCTGATATTAAATGCGATTTCTTGATTAATAATTGATTTAAAATTGATGTTGCTGTGTAAAATTGATTTTAAACTGTGTAGTTGATCTTCACTGGTTGATCGATTCATCTTATGATTTGATTTCATTACTAGATTTGATTGGTATCATTGGTTTGTAATCTTATTGATTTATAATCCCGTTGACCAAATCCAAAAATCAAAAATCGACTTTTTAAACCTCTCATAAACCATAAATCAAACTGATACAGCTGCTACATACATAACCCATAAGTTTACTCTTCAAAGTTCAAATCCTCTTTGCCCTTTGCACTCAATCATTCTCAATCAATTTTCATTAAATTTTAATAACAGTAAACTTTGATTTGTTATAAATTTTTTCTTTCTCTTTCTCTCTCTCTCTCTGAAATATAAACAACTAAACTTAAACCTATGTGGACTATAACTGTTGTAATAAAAAGTCGGTTTTTGGTTTTTGAAATTGAAATAATAAAAATTGATAACCATAAAATTGGACAATTAATAAGCTTGATTTGATATATGATAGAGTGTGAAAACTATAATGAATTGAATATATAATATAAACCCCTGTTCAAATAATTATTATCAATGATATCAGAATTTTGAATTTTTTTGATTGGTCTGATGAATTGATTACCACACCATTCTTTCAGCAAAGATTCCTCATAGAACCCATCTTTGCCAGATTTGATTTGGATGAGATTGTGTAGTACACAACATGCCATTACAATCATGATTTGTATCTTGTATGGATATGAATTTGAGCCAATATAGGAAACCTCATCTTTGACACACCAAATATCCACTTGATTAGAATTCAAAGAGATGAAAGACAATGATGATATAGCTCCTTTGCTGTTTGTGGTGTTAGACCCAAATTTCTCCACTCCTTGAGGTGGTATTGAATCAACCGATAAGGTGCAAGGAAACCTGGTATGTTGGCCTGCAAGATAGAAATGGTCTACATTGAAATCAATACACTGGAAAATCAATTATCAATACAAAAGGAATCTTGAGGGAAGAAACTTTTGACTTACCCTCAGGTACCTCAAATCTACCTTCCTCAAGAGCTTGGCAAAGGACATGCACGTCTGTGTGTGATCCCTCTAAGCCAGCGTAGACAAATGTAAACAACATATTATAAGAGCAGCCTGCAAGGACATTTTGGGAGAGATCTCCCTTTTCATTGCCATGGACTGGCTGACGGTCAGGAGGAACAAGACAAGGGATGTGGGTGCCATCTATAGCACCCACACACTTCTTGAAATACAGGTAAAAATGAGTGTCCTTTCTTCTTTCTTTCGGACACAGTTCTTGCCCAGTAGGTTGTACTATGTATGGTTGGTAGTGCCAAGAAGCGTCAAAGGTTGGACCAGCAGGTATTACTCTGCCAACTTGAGGCTGAGCAAGAAAAATCACTGAATTTGTGAGCCAAAGATACTGTTGGACTCCTGGCATTGATGGCAATCCAGATATTTTGCTGTGATGAGACATAAGAATGATTTCCAGCTTATTGACCATCTGGAAATCCAAACTACCATCCCCATCATGTCATCCTCTTCAGAGTTGGACTCTGAGGTGTCCTCTGAATCCTCTCAATGATCAAGCTTCTTAAATTTGTCCTACACAAAGTTGTTCTGGAACTTTTCCACAAAGGTTCCAGAACGGTTTTCCACGAAGCCAGAAAAGAAAATTTTGGCTGTGTTCTGGCTTTGTGGCCTCGTGGAAAAAAAACAAATTTGAATGCCCCTTGCCCCTAGGGTCCAAAGGACAGCGCGATCTAACCTGATTCAACCCTGTAGCTACTGATCGAGACCTCTTCATCTTCCCCCTCAACCAATTCTCTTTCTTCACCTCGCTTCCACACCTCTGTCCTCATACACCACACTGTAGCCTGAAAAGGACAAATGAGGTCCATGAATAACATTCTTTTGTGTACGAGAAGATTGATAGAAACACATTGATAGGAAGAGGTTTTGGAAGAGCATCATTGATTTTGAACAAGATCAATGTCTGATCCTTCAACAGACAATAATCTAAATTAGATTGGCTTTTGTTGAAGATTGACAGGAACAAGGTTTATTTGATGATACCAGAACAATTAAAATAAGCTCTTGGATCTTAAACGAGATCGATATCTATTTGAATCAATTTCTGATGTTAATTGCAAACTAAGTCGTAAAACCAAATCAATTAAATTTGCAAGATTGATAGGAACAAGTTCTAATCGATGATACAAAAAAAAGCTCTTGGATCTTGAACAAGAGCAATATCTATCTGAATCAATTTCTGATTTTATTGGTGGACCAAGTTTATGCATTAAATTGATTACATTCAAATTATCATTGGTCAGAATTTGAATGATTTGATGAATAGTGATTTGGTTTTCTCAGATGAATCTTGGGGTTGAATGAAGTAAGTTGAGAAAGGTTGTTGGGTCAATTTGTTGTTGAGAAATTTGATTGAAGCGGTACTTGAAGGGGAATCTCGTCAGGCATGTTGTGATGGGGGATGTCGGACTAGATTGAGGATGTGGTGTTTTGATCGAAGTCCAGAAAGCCATAACGTATTCTGCCTTTCTGGCTTTGTGGAAAATGTGTTCTGGAACCTTTGTGGAAAAGTTCCAGAACAACTTTGTGTAGTATAATTGATCAACAAAGCTGGGAAAGACTACCTAGATTCAATAATTGCCTCAAAGACCAAGATCCCATGTAGAACTTCTAAACTACATGGAAATCAATACCCTCATGAAGAGATTTTGAACACTAGCAATGGTTGATTTCAAGAGCTCTGTTGTACGGACAAGCTTGCTTTCAAAGGGCTTAATCAAAGCCCTTGAAGGTACAGCTGTTTCAACAAAGATTTTTTTTTTGAAAATCTTGTCAATGTGCAAAACCCGGGTTTTGTACCTCAATTGATTTTGTCCCTGCGCTAATTGGAAGAATACAGAAAATAATAAACCTGTATCTAGTTTTTTTCTCTGGTTTTACCTGCTGCAGAGACAACTTTCTCCAAGAATAAGTTGTCAATCTTTTGTGAAACAGCTGTAAAATTATTATTCATCACAAGAGAAGCGTCACTCTACATGGAGCAGGTCATGATATTTTTATACATCATTGGGAATTATGGGTCAAATTGAGTGGCTGGCAATTCAGTGTTCCGGACATACCAATAACAAGTATTTCAACCGGGTTTGCAAGGCTATTGCTTCCCTTGAATCCATCTATGGTTGCTAGTGCCGAGAAGCATCAAATCTCGGACCGGATATTTCTCAAAAACTACACTTCAAGACAAGATTTAGTTATGTTGTAGAAACCAACTAAAACAAGAAGTTCAGATATTAGGGGTTGGGCGATAGTTCGACCAACCGGTTTTGCGCCTCTGAGAAGCCTCCCGAAAGGAGTCGAAGATGGAGGAGGACAAGTATTCTGGGTTTCATAGATCTGTTACGGATCTGAGCCCAGAGTCAAGAGTGTTTAGGCAATACCCAGGCAAGCTTTTGCCAGAAGAGATGGGTTAGGGGATATGTGAAAGGTGCAAAAGGGGTGTTTGCATGGCTTGTACTACGAGCCCAGCGGCACAAATTGCTTTGCCCTGTAAGCCTTTTGAACGGGTGAAGCTTTGGAGTTCTCAAGAAACGCTTTGTACTGGTGTGTATTTTTGCAAAGCAAAAAGATCAATAAAAGTTTTGGTCGGTTAAGGGTGGCTTCGATATTGCTTTCTAGCCATCTCAAAAGCATTCTTAAATCATTGAACTACGACTGAATGGGTTTTGCAAACCGGTTGGTCAAAATTTCGCCCAACCCCTATTGAATTTCCAATGGCTACTTTATACTCTCTCTTTTCACTCTTTTTTCACAAAACATGATTTTCAACATCTTTTCAAAAAAATGATTTTTCAACATGTAAAAAAGTCCTGTCCCATAACACAATTTCTAGAAATCACGATTCACAGCTAAGTGAACACACTCCTTCTGTACATACTGATCTTGTTTTCATCAGAATATGAGCATAAAGTTTTTTTTTCTTTTCATAATTCCATTTTCTTCATATAAATTTTCAAACTTTCCCTTTTTCTTTTTGGAAAAAAAAAACAAAAGAACAATGCATCAAAAAAAAAGAAAAAGGAGAAAAAAAAGATTAAATAGAAAAAAAAGAAAAAGGAAAAAGAAAAAGTAAGAATTCCAAGAAAAAAAAATCAACTTAATCTTAACCAAACAAAACCAAACAAAAAAAAACAAGTCCAAATGAAAAACACTTATTTACACAATCAATGAAACATATATATAAATATATATTCATACACACCATAAAAATTGAAGAAAAATTGAAAAAAAAAGTTCAGGTAAGAAAACAAAAAATGAAAGTGAAGAAAAATTCCAAAATATTTGAATTAATCTTAAAACCGTTTGATTTTTCTTGTAAAGTAAGAAAAAATAAAAAGATCACAAAAACCCCATAACATCCACACACCCACACACACAAACTTACACAAAATCACACAGAATCAAAAAAAAAGTGAGAGACAAAAACAAATCCAAAATAGATTCAACAACTCATCATACCAAAAGAAAAAGAAAAGAAAAAAAAGAGTGAAAGAATAATTAAAGATTTGGTAACCCAACACACACACACACACATCACAAGAACAGTTCAACAAGTTTTCAATTTGAAGAGATCATAGGTTCCGAAAGATTAGGTTGAAGTGAATCCGATTCAATCGGTGCTTGATGATGATGTTGAAGTCTCCAAGCTTCAACCCTAGGAGTATTACATCTCGAAAGACCCTCAACACTCAAATCCACCGTCTTCACTTCTGCCAAAGGTTGTTCTGCCATCAAGATCTTCCCTTCAGGTGTTCCAATCAAATTAGGATTAGGTGAAGGTTTAGCCGATTGATATGGATCTACAAACCATGATTTTCTTGACATCTTACTATGATCATAAACCAAAAAGTTTTCTTCCATCACTCTAAAATCAGCTGCTAGATTATCAATATTCAAATTCGGATTTCGTTTTTTCGCTTTCAATGGATTATCTTCTAATAAAAGTTCTTCAAGTTCATGTGTTGCATCAAAGTTTGCTTTTTTAGGCTATCATCAAAGAGAGAAAAAAAGATTCAATTCGATTTCCTCAAGTTTTGAGTTCAATCACATCATCTTTCGAAAAAAGAAAAAAGAGAAAAATCACTTGAAAAACTCACATCAGGTTCAAAAGGTGGAGTCACTTGAAGTGAATTGATCGCATCCCAATCTAATCCTCTAAACCAATCATGTGATTTAAACTTTTCCATACCTCCATTACTCTTACATCCTAATCGTTTATAAATATCTCGAACCAAGATCTTTTCCAAGAAATTCAAAGCTTCAGGTCCAATCACTTGAGGCAAACTTTCTGGAAATCTAGGTTCTTCTCTTGAAATCGCCGTCGTCAGAGTCGAATTGGTTTTACCTCTGAAAGGTCGTTTACCAAACAAAAGTTCAAAGGTCACCACTCCAAGTGACCACCAATCTATGGTAGAGGTATAACCACGTTTAGCTAAGATTTCAGGTGCCATGTATGCCATTGAACCGGCTACTGAGGTCAGTGGACGTCGTTCAGAGAAATGGACAGCGATATTGAAATCAGTTAGATGTGCATGACCCCGTTCGTCAAGAAGAATGTTATCGGGTTTAAGATCACTAGAATGGAAAAGACCAATAAGGTAAGATTGCTGAACTCGGTCAAGAAAAGCTTCATAGAGATCTGTGTGATAGAAGACTTACCGATGTACGATCCCCTTTGAATGTAAATAATCAAGAGCCAAAGCCATTTCACAAACATAAAACTTCACCACCTCTTCTTTCAAAAAACCAGCACGATCCAAATGAAATCTTAAATCACCACCTAACATAAGATCCAGGACCATAAACAGATTCTCATCATCTTGAAATGCATAACGTAGATTACAAACAAACGGTGAATCGATCTCTTCTAACAATCTACGTTCTTGAATGATATTAGAAACCGCTCGTTGTGAAACGATTCGTTGTTTGTTTATATATTTTAAGGCGTATAATGCTTTGGTTTGTTTATGTTGAACGACTCGAACCTATAAAAAGATGAAAAGATCAAGATCATTAGATAACTTCAACATAATCGATGGTCGATCAAATCCAATCCAATCCAATCCAATCGAAAAACTGATTCAAAGCACACTAACTTTTCCAAATGCACCTTTTCCAACCGACCTTAGAAGGTAAAAATGCCAAAGATCTACCGGACCATCAAAATCGATTTCCTAATAAACCAAAGCAAACCAAAGCAAACCAAAACAAAGGTTAATAAAGTGGGAAAGTTTGAATGATAGTGAATGAATATAATTACCTCCGGTTTACAACAAAATGCACCCATTTCATCTGTTGATTGAATTTGAATGTGAATTTGAAATGATATAAAAAAATGAAAGAAATGATTAATGAGATCTAAAAGAAAGAGAGGATTAAGATATGATGATGATGATGATAAAGAAAAAGAGAAGATGGAATTGATTATGATTGTAGTTGATAAATGATGATTAGCTTTGATGTTAAGAGAAAGAGTTGAGCTTGAGTATAAGTTTGATTAGCAAGTTAAATTAAATTTTCATTAACCAATCAAGTATGTATAATTTGACTGATGATGGATTGAAATTGATTTGTTGTTGTTGTTGTTTCTTGAAATTGAAATTGACTTTGATCTTGTTCTTGTTCTGATTCTGTACTTGAACTTGCTTACTTAAGAACATCGCCACCAAACTCAGACTCAGACTCAGACTCAGACTCAGACTCAGACTGTGTACAACATTCCAAAATACAGCTTGAATTCATCTCGCGTGGGAAAAGATCAGAGACAAAAATACTCTAACTTTCAATTTCACTTTCAATGAGAGAACATCCAATATTCTGATTGCTTGTTCTGTGCTAGCTCACTAGACTTTCCATGAGAATCATTTCACATTTAACTATCGGTAAAGGTCCAACTTAATACATCATCTTACATAACCCAACCTACAAACAATTCTTTTTAAATGTTTTCTTTACATCTTTTCCCTTAAAATCCAATCATGTAGAATAAACAAAAAACAAAGAATTCAATCACAATCACAATTTACAAAAAAAATCAACTTAATTTAAGTGGTTTCCAAAATCAAATCTATCAAATCAAATCTAATTATATCATTTTCTTTATTTGATTTTCAAAAATCAGTAATCCAAAACCCATCACAAATACAAACTTTATGAAACTCAATCAAACTCAAAAGAAAATCAAGTCCAAAATCACAAACCAATCGTTGATCAAATGTTTTATAAACCCTATCAAGTCGATTAAACCGACTTAACCTTTGTTTTTGATCTGGATCTTCATCTTCTTGATCATCTATCAATGATTTTTTAAAAAACCTTAAATTCTCAATCGATCGACGTCCACATTTACTACACTTCCTTATCCTATTCTCTTCTTCATGGTAAGATTTAATCTTAATCAATCTAATCACGTCGGTTTCGGTTTTTTCTTTTAATCGATCATTAACATCTTCATCAATTTGATATTTTATTCTTTCGTATTTGATTAGGTTTGGATACATTTCTTTTAAAGTGCTAATTTTTTTAATCGACTTTTGGATTTGAGATTCATTAATTCCATCTAATGGTACCATGTATCCTTTTGTAAATTTCTTAGTTCCACCTAAAAAAAAAACAAAAACAAAAACAAACCAAAATTAGATCATTCAATAAACCAATCACTATCAAATCTGTCAGTCAAGAATTCATGGATTTCACATACCTTTCCTATCCTCATTTAATGAATCATCTTCCAATTCACTCAATCCGATCTTCCTCATCTCTTTGAATCCTAAAACCAATCTATCAAGATCAATCCTCAATTGATTTTGAAGAAATTCTTGAAAAATCTTTTGTCCTAAATCGATTTCTTCTTGTGAATTCATTTCATAAATCCCTTTAAATCTCGGTAATGATCTATTCACTAAATTGTTCATACAATTCGGATTCTCAATGGTTTTGATGATCGATAAGATCATCATCGAAAGTTGAATTAAATTCTTAAGACTCGATTCTCTTGTAATCAAAATTGATAAATGTCGATTCTTGGAATCTAAAAAAAATCAAATCAATCTTCATCAATCTCTTTGCTTCTTTAACTTCGCCAGAGAATCATAAAAAAAACCCAATACATACCAGGTGAATCTGAATCCAGAATCCTTTCACATAAATTCATAAACCATTTAGTAATACTCAAGAACTGCCAAACCGAACCTACAAAACAAAAACACAACAACCCAAACCCCAATTCAAATCTCAATCTTTCTCAAATTCTCTAATATGTATCTATCACAAAGCAAAAATCTTAAACGAACGTCCAAAGATTTCATCCCTCAAAGTGATTCCAATCTTTAACATCACTTGAATTTGTTTAAGCAGAAATGCAATCTCAGCAACATTTTCATACCCATCAATCGCACTAAAAAAACAGTCAATCCCCCGAGAAAAAAATCAAATATCAATGATCAATTCTTCTTAGGATCTTATAAGAAGATCAAAGTAAAGAAAGCAAAAAATCCGAAACCGAACCTCCAAAGATCTAATCCTAAATTCAACCAATTCGAAAACCTATCATTCCAATCGAAATTCGAATTCTTACTCAACACTTCATCATCATCATCATTCTCAAGCACACCAAGACGAATTTCTTCATCTTCTTCATTCCCTAAACTTTCAAAATTCAAATAATCTTCAATCGATTTAAACATTTCATTTAAACTTCTTTGAAACTTTGGATGATCAGATAAGATCTTGATGATCTCATCAATCCTTTCTTTATTATAAATCGAATTTAAAATCAATTTAATCAAATTCAAACTTTCTTCTTCTCTTACTATTATGTTGTTTTTTTTTTGGCCAAAACAAACAAACAAATCAATCAATCAATTTCATTCATCGTTTCTTTTTTTTTTCAATTCAAAAAAGTCTAAAAGAATCGTTTGAAAATCTTAACGTACTTAATGGTAATGCTCTAACTTTTCCATTTCGATCAATTGAAAATGTTAAAGTACCATGATAAGAAACAATAAGTTGTTTAGCTTCACTTTCCGTCATCCTTAACGATTTCCTTTTCATAACCTCTGAAAGATCTCTCCTACAAAACGTCCCCAAGAAAAACCCTCAATACAATAAAAGTCTTACATGATGAATTAAATTGGAAGAGAAAGAGAAAGAAAAAAAAAACTGACTTATTTAAAATTAAACATTCAAATCGATGATGATCTTCATCAAGCTCACCAACATTAAACCCATCTTGATCATTAAAGTTTCCAATGTTTTCTTCGATTTCAATCACTTCTTGATCTTCTTCTTCTTGATCTTCTTCTGATCCTTCTCCTTTAGAAATTATACATAAAAAACTTTCATTCTCTCCTTTCCAATTCGAAATGATTTGTTTAATCTTTTCTCCAATTTTTAACTCTTTTTTAAAACATCTAATAAAACACTACATATTAATTTTTTTTTGTTTGGTGTATGTGTGCGTGTGTGTATATATATATATATGTGTGTTTTCCTTTAAAATCATCAGTATGTATTGAACAAAATTTCGATTCAAAAAAATCTTTTTCAAATGAAAAAAAAAAAACATAGATCAAAAAAAAATCGAAACACTAACCCATTCCTCTGGTCCACGTAAAGTCGTTTCATGATCGATTTCAATCTTTGGATTTCCATGATTCCCATTCCCATTCCCTCCATTTCCTCCATTCCCATTACTTCCATTTCCAAAACATTCTAAACCTAAAAACCCATTCGAAAGTTCAGATCTACAAAACTTAATCTTCCAAGTTTCCAATCGATCTACCAAACTTGTATCTTCTCTAGAATAACCTACAATCATCACCAATTCAGGTTTCAAATTCATCAATTCTTGTGCTCCTCCTCCTCCTCCTCCTCCTGGTTCCGGTGATGATGATGATGGTGATGATGGGATTCTGGGTGTTGATAAATGATGATGATGATTTAATTCCAAAAATTCCAGAGATTTTAATTTGATTTTGATTTCTTCATTAGATTCTGTTGGATCTAAAATAGGTATACTAGGTAAAGGTTGGATTGAAATGGCTATCCAAAAACGAAAAAAACCAAAACCAAAATCAGTGATTCCTCTTCTTAGAATCTTAATCATCAAGAATTTTAATATAAGAAAACAAACTAAAAACTCAACTTGGTATAATTCCATTTTCAAAATCAATAAACACTTCTACAAATTCAATTAATCCAAATCTCATTTGATTTCCTGCACCAGCTAAATCTTCACTTTCATCAATCCCATACAAGGGTTCAAATCGTTTACGTTTCTTGGTGTTTTGTTTAAAGGTTTTCATCACTTCTAATTTCGATTTTCTTCTTCTTTCTTGATTTTCAATTTCTTCTTCGGTTTCAATTTCCATCCCTAATCCAATTCCCATCCCAAGTCCCATTCCAAGTCCCATTCCAAGTCCTATTCCTAATCCTAATCCTTCATTGGGTGAAGGTCTAGGTTTCAGTTTCTTTTCATCTTCTATAAACGCTTCATCAAGTTCACCTAAACCTGTAATATAATCACCCATCTCATCATCCACTTCAACTTCATGATTAGAAGGATCGGTAGAATGATTCAAATCTTTTCCATGATCGATAGGTAAGATGATTTGTTTCACAGGTGTAGGGATGATCGGTTTCGTCCGACTTTGAAATCCAATCAACATCACCGAATCGATTTGATCTGTGAGACCTTCTTCAGATGATCCCATCGAGCTCGAATTAGGTTGACCTGGAAATCCAATCGAGGCGATCGTGAGTTCTTTTCGATTTGATCTAAAATCATGAATCATCGAATCAAATTGATTAAACCCATTCGGATTGAATTGAACGGTTTTCTCTCCATTCACTTTTTCCGTCATCAATAATGGGATCTCATTAAAAGTTGAAGCATTAAATCTTGATTGAAGAGGTGGTTCTAATGAAGGAAAACTTGATAAATTCAATTGAGAGTTTTGATGGGTTGGAAATGGTGATGAATCAATCATGATACCTAATCCTACATGTTTGGTGACTTTAGGATCAGTTAAAATTATCGGTTCTTCTGATGATCTTAATTCTGGATCATCCGTAATGGTTCGTTTTCGATCTTGTCGGTTCGATCCTGGTGTCGGAATTAAATGTAATGCACCTGAAGTCATTGTTGAACTTCCTAATGGTGCTAAAAGTACATGTGGTGGTAAATTACTTTGTCGGAATGGTAAATGAATCACAAATAACTAGAATTCAAAAAGAAGATCATCCTTCATTTCATTTCGATTCACATTCTTTTGGAGTTTAGAAACCAAAGTTGAAATCAAAACACACACACACACACACACTTACCTCATTTGTATTTAAAACCATCATCACTGTCGTTGCTTTGCCTTGACTAGCATTATCAATTAAACTTCCTGAATTCTTGATTGGTTTACTTAATTTTACATTCTTGGTACCTACTGAAATTCCATCTTGTTCCAAACTTTCATCTAATTTTTCAATTGACCACTAATCCAAATCAAAATCAAAATTCAAATCCAAATTCAAAATTCAAATTCAAATTCAAAAGTTAGAAGAAGAAGAAAAAAGAACCCACTTTTCTAGGCTCACCCAAGAATCTAGCCTTTAAAACTCTTTTGACCATGGGTTCAAGTGCTTGATGATCCAAAACGGAACGAACACTCCAATCACAAACGACTTCATCAAATGATAAAGTCCATTGATCAACCTGAGAATGAGATTGAGACAAGATAGAGATTCGAAGATGAGCCAAATCTTGAAAAGTCGAAGAAGTATGACTACAAATCAAAAGATACATTCCATCATTCGAAAATAACAGGTGATCGACTTCAGATCGGTTTAAAGGTTGTGATGATTTTCGATAAGACGGTCGATTCTTATAGGGTGGAATCGATGGTGATGGTAAGCTGAAATACCATGATGGTGTCTTTCGTTCATTGCTCGGTAAGATTGTAAATCCGATTCGTATGATATTTAAACTTGCTTGAGTTGATAATTCGGGATCTGGTTTGATGGCTCTTGCTAAGATTTGTTGTGAAGAATAAGCTATGGCTGTTGGTGATCTATTCAATTCAAATCAAACATTTCCATTCCCAAAAAGTTTTAGTTTTTAGATTATCTTGTTGGGGGGGTTGCGGTTTTAGATGATCAATTTACCTTGGTGGTAATTCATCATTTAATAAACCTCTTTCGATTCTAGCTGATTGAACATAAGTTTCGGTCACCGTTCTCGTTCTCGTTCGCGTTCTTGTCCGTGTCCTCGTTCTTGAATGGTTTTGATTTTCTTCTGTTTGAATTTGATGTTCTTCTGTTTCTGATTGATTGATGAGATGTTCTTCTAGTTGAAGTTCTATTTGATGATCTTGACTTGATCCGATTTGATGTTGTTCATTCATGATTTCCTAGTTCTGATTCTCGTGGTGAGTGGCCTGCTCATGAATTCTCACTCTCTGCACTTGATACATAATCCTTTAAATCACTTTCGGATCGGATATCAACCTCCAAACCATTTCTCAATAAAAACTCAACAAACATTCTTACTATCAAAATTCTCAAGAAACATCTTATTTTTTTGATCATTATTTTTCATTCATAAACCAGCAAGGTATGTATTCAACACACACAAGAAATAAACCAACACATCTTCTCAATAAAAAAAATTCAATGTAAATCTTTTAAATACTACATTGTACATACTACAAAAAAAAATAATAAACCTCATCATCTCTTTCATCTTCTTCTTCTTCTTTATCTAAAATGAATTTTTTTTTTGTTTTCGTTTTCTTAATAAAAATTCCATACAGAAAACAAAAAAAATAATATATATATGTAAATCATAATAAATGAAATTTAATCCTAGCAAGAAGAAAAGAAAAAGAAAGGAAAGATAAGAAACCATTCATTGATTTGATGTCATCAAGTTTAGATTTCTTTTTTTTCCTCTATAATAAATCCAAAAAAAAAAAGAAAAACCAAGATAAAAAAAACCCCCCAAACCCACCATGATCAATTCATCATCAAGCCAACACATCCGTCACTCCCAATGAACTTCTTCTTCTCCTAACACTTCTTCCACTCCCTCCTCCTGTTGTTCCTGTCGTTCCATTCGTTCCAGAAGTTCGATGATTCTGATGACCACTTCCATTCACACTTAATCCATTCCTACATTCATTTTGATTAGAATTCAAAATCATCGGTAACCGTTTCTTTTGATTTCCCATCACTCTAGTCGGTAATTTACTAGGTGATCCATTCATCCCTCCACCACCACCACCTCCTCTTAAATTGTACCGGGTCACCTTTTCTTTTTCTTTTTCTTTAGCTAATCCTTCAAATAAGGTACCTAAATCTTTCACAGCTTTAGATCTTCTAAAACCTTCGATCCCATTCCCATGAGTTTCTTCACCATTCGCTTTATTGCTATGATGGCTTCCTGTAGGATTCGTTCTAGAATGACATGATAAGGCTGATGCAGGTCTAGGTTTCGGTCGAGTCCTCATGCCTTCATGATTAGGTAATTTCATCCCTTTGAGATTCGGATGAGCTGTATTGGAATTCGTATTATTCGTTGAGGTTTTCACAGGTGAGCTGATCGTAGTGGTATTAGTAACAGGTATCGAATCTGAATTGGAATCAGCTTTAGATATTTGTGATCTTGGAATCAGTTTAGGTTGTGGTGGTGGTGGTGCTGGTATCGAACTCATTTCACAATCTTCATCTTCATTTTCCTGTGATGATGATTCGGTTTCAATCAGATTTTTACCTGCTTCATGACTCGAACTTCCTTTAGGTGATTGAACGGATTGATCGATTTCATGATTCATTCCAATCGAATTTCGGCTTTCAGGTGCAGCGACCATATGTCGACCTTTGGCTCCTGGTGTTTTTCTAGGTTGACCCGGTACAGTAAGTGGTCTAGTGGGTGATGTTTGATCTGTAGGTGTAGGTGTTTGAGCAGGTAAGATCAATGGGTTATGTTCAGGTGGTGGGGTGATCGGTCTCTCGGTTTTACTTGGACTGATTTGAGTTTCTTGTTCTGATAATAATTCATCCCTTGCTGCCCATTTGATCCATGTCATTTGATTTTCATACAAGAAATGTTGTTGAGGTCTAAATTCGAAAACCAAAATCAAATATCAAACGAATGAAACACATCAAACACAATCCATCCAAAGAAGTTCAAATCGATCTTGGTTTAGAAACTTACCCTACACATGTTCCAGGTCTCATGATTCTCATAAATCCAATCACTTCTTCAGCCGTAAAGGAATACTTATAAATTAGATAAGCTCCAATCAAAGTACCTGTTCTACCTAATCCTGCTTTACAATGCACTGCAACTACACCACCCTCTTCAATGATTCGATCACACATTGTAATAAACTCTCTAACCATTTCCATTGTAGGATTTGTACCATCATCAAAATACACTGTAGAAAGAAAAAATCGATCGATTAGCGATTTGAATCGAAAATCTTTTTAAAAAAAACACATTGGATCCTTACTTTCTTTATGAGCCATTCCTCTTTCTAAAAACCGATTTTCATCATACAATTTTTTATTTAATCTGACCACTAATCTAACTCCAACTTTTTCAAATTGATCTAAAATCATTTTAAATGATTTACCAATCCTACCACCTTGTGGTTCAACCGGTGAAGCAAATGCAATGAAATGAGGTGATAACCAATTATAATCTCCATTCTCTACCTTTTCAAAACATTCATATTCTTTTAAATCAAATTCATCTAATTTCAATAATCTTAAATCGATCGCTCGTTTCACTCCATATAATACATTTTGAATTGATAATTGAAAATCGGCTCTTGAGTATCCTGCGTCTCTAAATGGTTGCTAGAAAGTTTTTTCAGGAAAAATCATCATCAAAGATTAGGATTGAAGTTGATAAGGTTCAAGACAAAGAGGTGAAAAAGTCAAATTTGACAAACGATTTGTAATTGAGAGATCGGATGAAGTGAATCAGCAGGACTCCACCTCAGAACGATCATCTAAAGCAAAAAGGAAAACATATATCCAAATCCATCAGTCAAGATCGCAAGACGCGATTTAAATTAGAATTTGTGTTTTGCCCCCGAAAGACTTACACAATACAAAGAGATCAATAAAGCCGAATTAGCACGTTTATCAGGATCTTGAGAAGAATACATAATGATTCGTCTGCCTTCTAATACATGATCTTCTAATAAACCATGTAAATGTAAACAAAATCGATAAAGACAAGCACAATTTAATGGACCGGTATCCTAGAAAAGAAATCAAACATGAAGAAAGGATGAGTGTGTGAGTGTGAGTGAGTGGGTTTTGTGAGGAAACCTTTTGGCCGAAAATCAAATCACACAGAACCTACTTGAAAAAAAGATAAATAAACCAATAGATTATCAATCGTAAACCAATAGGTATCAGAATTAGGTAATGAATTTAATTTGTTGGGATCTGGAATCGGATTTGAAAAATAAGTGAAGGCTAGACGTGGTCCGAAATTACAGATTGGACCGATTGGATTAGGTAATAGATTCGATTTTGAAGTGGATTGGATTGGGAATTGAGATTGTGAGGTTTGAGTGATTGGAAGATTTGTGGTTGTGCTTGTTGATGATGATGATTGGTTTTGATTGATTTCTGACTATATGCATTCGAGTCAAAGTTGAAGATGGTAATGTGATGAGTTTTGATTTTGATTTTGATTTTGATGTTGGTTTGAAAGAGACTTACCATTTGAATGTCAGTTTGAAGTGAGTTTGAGTTGATAGTTTGTTGTTGTTGAGAAGTGGATGGTGAGTTGTTCATGGTTGATTTCTTTAAAACTGAAGTGAGTGAGTCTACTTTACTCTGATGGCTGATTAACAAAACTGAACTCAACTCAGTCTTACCAATTCCGACTTAAGCTTATGTCTCATTTCAAGTAGATTTCTCTCTCAATATAATTAAGTCTCACTTAAACACTTAACATTCTCTAAAGACTAAGACTACACTTAAAACCATAATGATACCTTCACCAGCTCTGTTCTCATTTTCTCCTCAACATCGAATCAATGATTGAAATAAGTGTATCCAATCCATTTTTTAAAACTCTTCCACTTCATCATCATCATCACCATCAGAAGATCAATGATGTAGATTCAAAAAAAAAAAGATTCCAAAGCGATATATTACAATCAAAAGAAAAAGAATCAAAGTATAATAAAGAAATGATCTAGATTGAAATAGTTTATTTATGATTTACTAATGTGTTCAAGGGATTCATGATAAATGAATAAAAAAAACGATATTTTGGAAAAGAAAAAGTTTGGAATACAATACACATACAGTCTATCTGATCAAAAAAAGAAATATAGAAACAGACCAAAACATATCGCAATCCATGACCATCAAATCAAATTAACCAAAACTAAGGTCAACTTGGATTGATTTTATAAAGTATCAAATTTAGTAGAAGAAGAAGTGAATGAATTGAATTGATTAGGATTCATAAATCGATTTTTTGAATTTAAATTTGATAAACTTGAAGTTGAAGGTGATTGTAAATTAGAACTTGTAGAACTTGAATAAGATTCTGAATCAAGTTGATGTTTAAGATTTGAAAAGATCTTTCTTAGAATTAAATTCATGATTGCAAAACTTATAAAATAAATCAAAAGTGTTAAGGGATCTAATTCATTGATTGAGGTCATCTTTTGTTTTTGAATTTCTTCGATTTGATTGGTTTTTGTTTTGGCGAAAGGTTGAGGAATCAAGAATGAATGAATGGTTGGATTTAGGTGGTCAAGAATGAAATACGGTGACATACGATTAATAGAGTTTGGGTCTTTTGAAGTGTCGTATGGAGTAAGTATTTAATCAAGATCAAGATGAAAAGATTCTTGAAAACAGTTTTTGATGAAGATGAAGATGAAAAGAATTAAAGCAAATAGGAGACTTGGGTTTGTTTGAAAGAAAACAAATCAAAACTTTAATCTTTCAGGGAAATTCAAATTGTAATCAGATGAAAGATCGATTTGAGTGATTTCATTCTCCTATCTCTTGGCATTCGCTTTCTTTCTCAATTCAGCTCAATTCGCTCTTGATCTTTGGCAATAATAATTTCGAAGAATTTCATTTGGTTATTCAAAGTTTTTTCACGTGCTACTACACAAAGTCTAATAAAACAGTACAAAGTTATCAAACTGGATGTGAAAAGTTAAAACTTTGAAAGAGAATCAGGTATGTATGTATGGAATCTGGATTACAACAACAAACTTTGTCAGTTGCAGATGTTAAAATTTTTGTACACTCAAAAGCCATTAGAAGCTTGACTTCACAATTGGGAATTCTCATCAAGATCGAGATACACAGCAGTTTACATTTATTTACACAGCGTCTTTCATTTAAAACATCTATCTATATCTATGGTCATAGGATCTTGTAAATCTAGATCTAGCCACACCTCAGCACAGCCTTCTTTCTCATACTTCTGCATTCGATTCATCAAAACGTTTCAAACCCACGTGAGAATTGAGCAAAGGTGTCAAGGTTGAAAGAAAGTGTAATCGGCCGGTGCGCCAGGGGATGAAAACAAGCTCTGGCACAAGCAAACACGGTATGTAAATATTTACATAGTAGCAAATCAAAGCTAATGCTGATGTTGAGAGATCATAACCTGGTGTCACTGGTTTAAGCTTGACTAAGCCCCTCTTCCAACACGGCCATGTTGACTCTTGAAGAAGGTTTTATGGCTTATACCTGACTTCGAGGAGCCTGAGACCAGCAAAATTTCCAAGCAATTTGGCTTGAAATCCTTTCTTGATGACTCTAAAACATTGTACAACCTCACCAAAAGATTAAGAAGAACATCTTATAAGCCTTGTAGTAGAACACACAGGCTTGTGCCACATACATAGCACCATTTTACAGTTACTCAATCAAAGTGACAAGTTTGAGATCTGGTGTTCTTGTGATTCTGGGTCATACTCAGTGTGTAGGCCTACAAGCATGCTGAACTCATCAAATTTGATCACTTGGTATTGGAATCAATTCTTCCCCACAATCTAGGTGTGGTGACACTGACAGGATAAAAATAATATGAGAAGAAGAAGAAGAAGAGCTTGGCTCTGCTGAATTTATTGCAAGGTTTCATAACATTTAGAGCCCTCAAAAAGGGATTTCAAACAAAACTGTATGAAATTCTTACTGGTCTGAAGCCAACACTGTAACTTTACTCCAACATGATCTAAACTTTGACAAACAAAATATAAAATATGATCACTATGACTCCTGACCAGAAAACATCATAACATATTGTGGTATATTTTATTTTCAAACTCAGCTCAACCCTAGTTATCATGATTTGGGCTTAACAAATAGTTTGACCTTAACCTTAATGTTCTACCCAACTGTCACACCATTTGCTTGTAGATTTCAGTGTAATGGAGGTAGCTGGCTTTTGGCTGTGGGCTATCAAATTTGAGACAAGACCCCAGGTGTCTGAGGGGCTTAGTTGAGCTTATTACTGGTTTGGGCACATGAGACATTCTAGCCCAGCCTCTGTGCAATGTGACTGAAAGAGAAAGAGCATAAGCAAAATAATAAAAGACAGGGAAAAATTAAATGACATAAGCAGCAGTTGTTGCACAGAGGAAGTGCTAAGCAATATAAGCTTGTACAAGGTTGAGGCTTAGAAAAAGGCTCCTGATGTCCCTGTTGGTCATTGATAGCCCACTTCCTCAAGTCTTTGCCTGCATTCTTTGCCCTTCCTGGTTTGAAAGTAAGCACAGCATAGCCCATAGCCAAGATTTATTTTCAAAAATCAACCAGGGTCTGTGTCACACCTCAGGCTTGACACAGCGGCATTGATTGTGGTCTTGGCTGCTACAATCATCTCAGCTGCATTGGTGGTGCAGTGAGGATCTATATCCTAGAGTCCAAACAATGCCAAAAGAGGGTTTCATTGTCCCTGCAATTGATTCCTACATACTAGCTTAATGAAGGCCTGGAGTTAACAAAGTCCCTTGCTCATTGCAAGGTTTCAAGAAAGTTCCACATAGATAAGTTCAATGTGCCCACCTCCAAGCTAGGGCTTGGAGGGACGCTGCTGCTCAAGGGACTTGCGGTCAAGACAGACAAGGATATTGTCAGATGAGAATTCTATGAAATAAAACTTAAGAGGTTATGTGATTTGTATCTCATTAGTCAAAGACCAGTTATACTACACAAAGTTGCTTCTGGAACTGTTCCACACATTTTCCAGAAAATCTTCCAGAAAGCCAGAAAGCTTCTGAGCCCTGGCCAACAAGGAATTCAAACATGTTAATTTCTTTCCAAGATTCCAGGAATCCAGAGAACACAGCCATACTTTTGTCCTGGAAATGTTCTGGAAAGTTACTGGAATGGTCTCAGAATCATATTTATGTAGGACATTTGAAGGGAACTGGGGGATGATGATGTCATAGACTAAATAATGTGCAAAGATCACATGGGAACAAGTATGATTCAGAAAGCATCAAACCATATATGACCACAGAAAAATCATTTGAACTCAAAACCCAGCCAACAAAGTATTCTTCAACAAGAACAGTCCATCTATTTAGTTTCTCTTTCTCTTCTGTATAGCATTTCAAAAAAATACTATATTGTCAGTTATTAATTCATCTGTCTAATTATACAGAGACTTCTATTCACAAATCACTTCAAGACCCAACCCATACATCAATACTCAATGATCTGAATGAAATTCATGACTTGCCTATATGGCTATCACTCAATACAAAAGAGTATGGAATGATGGCTATGTCAGATCTCAATGATTTACATTGGAAGAGAGGAATGTATTGTTGATAACATGGACCTATTGTATCATAGTAAGCAAATGTAATCCAAATGTTCTATCCCCAATTGAACACACACGCCGCCAGATGATTGATGCTCTGGAAGACCATGAATAAAATAGGCTCCCATTTTCATGGCTTTGAAGCAGAGAATCTTTGGCCAATGAGCCCTGGTGACAGTGTGAGCCATCATACCACTTTCACCCAAAACACAGATGTTTTTCCATTGCACAAGGATCAGAAATCAGACTGGGATATCAATATTGTCAAACTTTGAAGATTCAATGGAATTATGGGATCCCCTATTTGCCTGCACTGCCAACATAGATGCCTGGGGTTTGAGAAATTTGAGGCATCATTGGAGGCAAATCCTTGGACAGACCTTGGCCGGGGGTTCTATCATACGTATTCTCTTGCGCTGAGAATTACCTCAGATCAAGCCCTTGGAAGCTTCTACCAAGGTTTGGCATCCAAGGATACCTCGGAGAAAAATCTGAGGTAAATATGTTGGTGGTGCTGTGAGTGATAGGAGAAACATGAAGCAAGTTAGCCAGAATTCATTATGGTTTACAATACCAGATTGAGAGCTTCAATAGCCACAACAGAAGGCCTTTTGAAATCTCCATTTTGAATGATGTTTTGGTGTATTATCAGAAATTTGCAGGTGATCTGCCCTATTCTCCAGGACCACATGAAAGTTTTTTTTATCTCCACACTTGACAGTGGGAATCTCACCAGCAGATTCAATTTCTGGGGAGCAGCTCCTGGAACACCCTGAAAGACAGATGAAAGTCCTTTGCACTAAAGTGGGGGAAGCATCCTTTTGTAAAAAGGAACACCAGCGCGCCTTGTTTTGCTTCAGGACCGTGCCTAGGTGCCATCAGGTCTGTTAGGCGTGCTTTTTTGGCAAAGAAAAATTTTTTTCCCGCAAGGGTTGTCTTTTGGGATCTTGATGGCAAAATTCATTCAACAACTCCCTGATTCCACTTCTCCCAGATCTTAACTTGGTTTTATGCTTGATTTTGGTGTCCCCAATCCAATACTGGTGCAATTTATAGCCATACTAATCACAACCAAGCAATATTTGTAAGCAGGAAACCATCAAACCCACTATCAGTGACAGAATTAAAGAGGTTCCCAGATGGGAATATGGGTTGTAGGGATCAGACCACATCTGGGAACCTCTTTAATGCTGGCAGTGTATGGTGCTCTTGGGCGCGCCTGCCTGTTTCAGGAGGTTCCTGTTGTGCCTTTTGGTGTGTTTTTTCAGACACACCGCCAGCCTGACTTCATACTAAAGGAAACTTTGAAGTTCCAAATATGAGGCATGTTTCTTGGAAGTGGATCTGTAAGGTTGAAACAGATCCATTCACAAGATCCCTGTGGCAAATCAGAAATTTATTGAGTTGTAACAAAGACCCAAGATGATATCGACATTGGAAAATTTCATCATGTGATCTTCAAGATGCAGATACATCTTGAATGACAGATTTATTAGTATTTAGTTCAATGAGTATGGCTGAATTGCACTGTGATATGTTGCTGTCATAGACCAAAACCTGTAGAAAATAATAACAATACCACATATGAGCACTCATGCAAATGAAACTAAGCAGAATCTTTAAAAACTGTAAGAGATTGTTTGATTGTGTTCATTCCAATAACTTGAGGACTTAGGACACAAGACTTGATGGGATAGTGAGATGACATTCAAAGTTTCTATGACATGGCCTGCATGACTGACATCAACTATATTGTCCTGTGTGACGCCCAGAGTTCTGATGTGTGCTTGACAACATGTATGTCATGTGATAGATCCACTAGTAGTCTCAGTATATAAACCTGCTGGAGCAGCATATGAAAGGTACCTTTTTGTTCACCTTTACCTTGTCTCTTTTCTGGCTGCTCCTCAAGAAGACTTACATCATAAGATATTAGCATCAAAGTGATTACTCTTTTGATTTGATATGAATTTTAAAATTATTGCACTAGGCTATCTGATGATTTGTCTTTCCCACTGTGTGGATCATCAAATTGACAAGATACTTCATGAAGACCCTACCTATCCAGCATTCTGCAATGATATAGATGAAATTCATGAATCACTTGCAAATATTCACTCCATGATAGACAACATGGAAGATTGGCTATGTCCGATAGGGATTATCTACAACAGAAAAACTGGATGGATTTCCATCATTTTAACTCAGATGTGTATACAAAACACACAATTTTCAACAATGACACAGACTTATTGTACCAATATAAGCAGTTGGAATCTATGTCTTCTGCCCACCACATCAGTGACAGAGGGCTAAATGATGATTGGGAAGCCTACAAAAAATCCATGGGTCCTCATATTAATGGTTTCAGCACAGAGAATTTGTGCTCAAGGGGCCCTGGTCTGAATGATTATATCAATCCTACTAATCTTATGGACAGATTTCCCATCAATCAAGGATCAGAAACCTCACAAGTGTATCAGAGCCTCCAAGACATGGAGACCCACAAAGATTCTTTGGTAACCTACTCCACTGTAAGTAAAAAAATAATCAACATAGATTGGGGCAATGGACATTGATTGGAGTTTGTAATGCCAGGATGGGGTGTATGGTATGCATCTCAGAGGGCCTCTTGAAAAATTATCTTCACATGATTTCCAGAGCCCTTGTCAATCAAATGTTGGATATGATCTAACTTACACTCAATCTCAATGCCCTTTTGATCACCTAGATCACCAATGGAAAACTGCAACAACAAAAAATGGTGAGCATCTCTTCAAAGGCACATCACATTTTTCCTTGCTAATGGCTGTAGCACAGGGAAAGTCTGGTCAACAAACCCTGGTTCAAATCATCATACCAGCTTGGCCCCAAACACAGATATTACTCATCTGTATCATGGACTGGATTTACAGGGTAATCAATACCATCAATGTACAAATCACCACAATCTTGATGCTATCATCTTTTTGTCTGTAAGTACTAAGTCTTGAAAATGTGCATCAAGCCAATTGAAATGTGGTATGCTTGCTGATTACTTTTTTGCTGAAACCAGGCTAAGAGTGTTGAATGCCACCCCAGTGAACCCTTGGACAAAGTATCTCCTCATGAATTTCAGACCATTTATGATCAAGAGAAATTTCCAGGCCAAGTTCCTGATGTCCCATACCAAGATCTAGGCAATTCCCTAGATGAGCAGTGGAAATGTGTACCAGGGAATACTAGGGGTGAGAATTCCTTCTAGACACTTCATCCAAGATATATATACCTCAATGTTATTTCTGGCCCTTGATGACTAACACAAATGTCCTGATCAACTTTCAATACTTCATGATGGCTGCAGAACCTACAGAGCATATGTTAGACAACCTTTTTGATTTCACCCAAGATCTTTGGTCAATGCAACATGATCACTCACAAGAAACTCACCAAAAACATACCACTTTTACCAATGTTGAAAGCTCTGTCAAAACCTGTGAAGTTGTACAAAAGACAGGTGGAGGAGAAATGAATGAAGTATTATCTTCAAGATCCCTGGCAAAAACCTTGTCATCATGGCCTGTTGTACAAATCAACAAAGATGTAGGGATATCAACACAGAGTACCCAAAGTCAAGATGCCAGCTTCAGTTTTATCAATCAACATGATGGTATGGACCATGGTCAAGTTCATGAACCCAGATCAACCAGTTCAGTTCAAAGATATAAAAAGAGAAAATTGCATGAAATTCACAAAGCAAGTGATGATGTTTCTCAAGGAAGCTTCAGTAAAGAGCATGTGGCACTTGCAAGTCCCCAAAATGAACCAGAACCTTCAGGTAAAATACAGAATTTTAACACCTTATATCAGCAACATAGAAGTGCCTTGCAACAAGGTGTGCGTACCAGGAAAATAATCCAAGAGATTCAAGGAATAGGAGCCCATTACCTTACAATGTATGGTATCTTGGCTATGAAAAATGATGACTGGTTCCTTGGTTTTGTGAAGAAGTTTTATTTGATAATCAATGATAGAAGTTTTACTGGAATTGAAGGAGACATAATCAAGCAGAAATTGATAGGTGCTTTAGGGAAGGTCAAATCTGGCATTGTGACTGGATTCCTTGGCTTACATTATTATATGAATGAATACACCCAGGGGCCATCACTTCAAACTCATGAAATCCTATCACACTATTTATGTTTTATACATAGATATATTGATGAGATGGCAGGGATTGGGTCACAAACAATCAAAGCATTAGATATGTCCATCAAGCCCCCATGGAAGGCTGTGGATGGACCATTGGATGTCCTACAGCACCTCATCACCATCAAAGAGAAAAGACATTTGAGACTTTATTTATATTACCATCTATGGACAAGATTTACCGAGAACAATAAGGAATTGGGGTGTATGATGAGCTATGATGACTTCATTACAAAACTTTATGGGAAGACTTCTCCACATCACAGCTATCCAGAATTCTCAAAACAGAAGGTCCACTCAACAACAACACTTCCCAATATCATCAATGATAATACCTGCACAAAATATATAAAAGACTTTGGAAACAGCTGCCTTGAATCAATGCTGCACAAGGCTGAAGATTTGAAAGATTTCTTTGACAGCTTGACATACAATCTTTATGAGAAAATCAGAAATGAAAGTTCAAACCTCAGGGAAGGAGTATCCTACACAGCTGACTTAAAGAGAGCCATCTATTCTGCAAGCCATAAAATAGTACCCTGTTTCCTTGCAATCATCCAGATAACTTTGAACGAACATCCAGGAGTGTGCCAAATTCAGGACCTAGAAGAAATATTAAATGATGGACTGAATTTCCTGAAAACCCAATTTTCTTTATGGAGAGGTCTTGATCTGGAGCAACTATTTCCATTGTCTCCTGATAAAACTGAACTTTCAATTGAAGATCTCAATCAAGACAGTCAGATAATGGCACATGTGTTCCAGAAGATGGCTAAACCAGCTCCCATATCAGTGTTTAAGAAAATACAATGGAATTTGGTGACAAGGTGGCCAAAGCCTGAGAAAGCAAGACACTTGCAAAGGATACTTGCAAATCATAAGGCACAGAACCTTTCAGGATGGCTTAAAGAAATGGTGTCCTATTGAAAGAGAACATGCATACCACTTTCAATTAATCCCCAAGAATCCCACATCTTCTTTGGATTTGTATGAAACAAATTCTGTTTTGAAGAAATTCTGTCCTGCCTGTTTCTGGAGCTATCCTTCATTTTCAGATTTTTCATTCTGTACCCAAATCTCCATTCTCATCAACCTTACATAAACCTTTCCCCCAATATCTAGAATCAGAATTTGGAAATATCAGAACATTTGATTCCACTTTTTGAGAAGATATACCTGTAATTGTGATTGTACCCTTGAACATTTCTTTACAACTTATAACCCAAAAAATATTGGCTCCTGTTCTAACTCTTGATCTAGTCAGACACTTTTTCCTTGCAAGCTTGGATGTCAGGGCACCAAGCTTGGAAAGCTTAAAAGAGCCCTGCAAGGCTGGGACTTTTGTGGGACAAGTCAGGTTCCTTTGATGGTAAAAGGACATCATTAATTTTGTTTGTGTCCCTTGAATGTGGATAAGACAATGAGTATCACACTTCACATAGTGGACTTCCTGCATAATTTTGGAGGTCAATTTTTCATTGATTTTGTGCAATCTTGGTTCTCAACCCCTCATATTATACTCATCTTTCTCATCTCTCTTCCTCCACTCCATTTCACCTTAGTTAATTAAGAAACTCACCACTACAACAAAACACAAATCAAATCTATTATGTATGCATTATACTATTTCTTTATTCCTTCTTTTAAAACCTCTATGCTTTTTCTTGCTCAAAAACGAACAAAAGCCACATAGAAATTATAACTCCTCCATACATACATAACAAAACTTAAACCAGAAAAAAATAGTTAGGGGATTTCAAAATTGATAGAGACGAGCTGAAAAAAAACATGATGATCAGTCATTTGCACAGGTTCCATTCACTGATGAGTAGTAGCATTAATAGTAGTATCAGTAGTAGTAGTTATTGTTGTTGTTTGACTTCCTCTATCTCCCAGATGTTCTAAACCCCCCAAAAAAGCAAGTCAGACACCTGAAAGTTGATAAGTCTTGAATAGCAAAAAAAGAAAAACGAACCTAATTTATCTAATTTACTTATAATCTTTTCCTCTCCCATAAATGCTTCTCTTAAAACATCTCTTAAATCTTCAACATAAACAATTTCAATACCTTCTTTAACCGAATCAGGTACCTAAAAGAAACAAATCAAACATTAATTTTTTGAATCAATTTGTGGTTGATTTGACCTTGACTAAAGTTAAATCAATCAGACCCCAAATAAAAAAACTCACGTTAAATTCAATATCTGCTTGATTTCCAATCGGTGCTAAAATCTTTTTAATTCCAGACCTATGTGCCGCTAAAATCTTTTCCTTTAATCCACCCACAGGTAAAACCTGTCCAGCCAAAGTCATTTCACCTGTCATAGCTAAATTGGCCATCCCCCCAAAAAAATCACACAATCATCAATCAACCAACCCTAGTGATAGAAGACTCAAAGCAGGTAAATCAAACAAACCGAGATCAGAACGAAGTCTAAGACCAGAAAACAATCCAATAAACCCAACAAAGATAGCAATCCCAGCCGAAGGTCCATCTTTACCGATCCCACCTTCAGGTAAATGTAGATGAATCGATCTATTCTCCAACAAATCTTTTTTAGCATCGTCAACTAAACCTAATGAAAATGCATTAGATTTAACAAAACTCAAAGCAATCATTGCAGATTCCTTGATAACTTCTCCTAATTTTCCAGTTAATGTTAAGGTTCCATTTGATGAACTTGTTGGAATCAATCGATTTTCAATTGATAAAACTGATCCTGATCCATTTCCTGTATAACCCAATCCTTGTGAAACTCCTAATGGTGCAAAACCATGATAAAATCGTTCTTTTTGATAAATTGGTGGTCCTAGATAATCTTTCAAAGTGTTGGATGTAATTCGTACGGTTAAATCCTTGGGAAGCTTCAATGGTTCTCGAATTGTTGTGGTCGTCTTTCTTGAATGATCCGTTTGAGGATTCGTTGTCTCTTTAGAATCAGTTGGAATAGGTTCAGTAGTTGTAGAATCAACAGTAGCAGTAGCATCTCCATCATATCTAATCACATTCTCAGCAGCTTCATCCTTCACCCTTCCTTCGTCACCTTGAACCTTTTCTTCGCTCTTAACCTTCTCTTCGACTTCTCCTAAATCTTGTACAATCTTCAAAGCAGCTTTCCTAAAAACTTTATCAATATTTTGTTTTAATTTCCTTACTCCACTCTCACGACAATATGATTTAATTAATGATGCAATCGCTTCTTCTTCAATCATAACATCTGAGTTTTCCAATCCACATGATTTTTTAGCTTGAGGTGCAAGATATCTAGTAGCGATGTTAATTTTTTCATCTGTAACATATCCACTTACTTCCATGACTTCCATTCGATCTAGTAGTGGTGCTGGAATCGTATCTAAATTATTAGCAGTACAAACAAATAATACTCTAGAAAGGTCTACTGGAATATCAATATAATGATCTAAGAAAGATGAATTTTGCTCTGGATCTAACATTTCTAATAAAGCAGAAGCTGGATCTCCATTATGACCTTTTCCTACTTTATCTATTTCATCTATCAATACTAATGGATTCTCCGTTTGAACCTTCTTTAATGCTTGAATTAATTTCCCTGGCATCGCTCCTACATATGTTCTACGATGTCCTTTGATTTCGGCTACATCTGTTAAGCCTCCAACTGAGAATCGGAAAAATTGCCGATCTAATGCCCTTGCTATCGATTTTCCTATTGATGTCTTACCTACTCCTGGTGGTCCTACTAAACATAAAATCTTGCCTTCAACTGTTCCTCTTAGTTTTCCTACTGCGAGGAATTCTAGAATTCGATCTTTGACACTGATTTTTTTGTAGAGTTGTCAGTTAGCCTGTGTAAGATGATCCGAATATGTAAAAAAACGAAGTCACTGACTCTTTGAGTCCATAATGATCTTCATCTAAGACTTGAATCGCATTTTTCAAACCAAAGTTTTCTTCAGAATGTCTTCCCCATGGGATTTGTGTAAGCCAATCTAGGTACTATACAGCAACACCGCGACCAGAGCATGAAGAGATGGTCAGTTTTGCAAACAAAACAGAAAAATGGTAAAAGACGACTAACATTTCGCGTCACGTTGAATTCACTAGCTTGTGGCTCTAAGGTCTGTAACTTATTAATTTCCTCTTCAAATACCGTTCTAGCATACTCAGGCATTTTCAATCCCAAAGCTTTCTCCCTAAACTTTTCCAGCAATTTCTCTTTGCCATCACCTTCGATACCTAATTCTTTTTTGATTCCTTTGAGTTGTTCTAATAAATAAAATTCTCTTTGCCTTTTAGTAATTCTAGATTCAACTTCTCTTGCAATCTTCGTTTGTAATTCTGCATTTTTTAATTCTTGTTTTAAAACCAATAGTGCTTTTTGTAATCTATCTTCTAAGATTACTGATTCTAAAACTTCTTGTAATTGATTCGTACCTGCTTCTGAATCTATTGAAGGTCCTGTTGTACTAACTGCAGCTGCAAAGTCAGCTAATTTGTCGGCATCTTCGAATACATTTCCAGCACCTTGAGAAACACTAAAATTAGCAACTTGATCTCTAAATAATGGATTTAGTGTTGCAATCTCTTTTAAAACACTTATGATCTCTGCTCCAATAGCTCTGACTAATTGAGAATGAGGATCAGATGGTTGAAGAGTCAGGTTTTCTACATTCACAAGTGAGACTGGATGTTCTTTTAAGAATGCGGTTTGCAAGACTTGAGTCGATTGGAGGTTAGGATCATCTGACTTCGTTGAACCTTCTTCTCCTTCCTCTTCTTCGATCAATTTCGAAGCCTCTTCTTCTTTTTCAAAACTTGTTTTGATAGGAGTATCAATATTAGAAAGATCGCTAGGAAGAGGTGTAGGACTTCGAGCAGGTAAGACAGGTAAAGTCTGATGACTAAATTTAGCAACATCATTTGGATCAATGATAGGTGCTAAAACTTCGTTAATTCGAATCCTTCGATGAGGATAAAGAACAGCTGTAAGACCTTCTGCAAATTCATCTTCATCTTTTTTTAAAGTTGGATCACGTCTGTTTTGATTTTGATGATTTGGATTTGGATGAGTAGGAAAGATACTAGTGATTTGAGCAAAGACTCCAACTTCATGTACACTTTTTGGATCGCTTATAATATCTGTTTCTAGATCATTATCACGTAATAAGAATGCACCTAAATAAGGTTGACCACGTCTCATCATCTCTTGAATCACTTTGATCACTGCTGGATTTTTGACAATCACAGCTTTATAGAATCCTGGAAAGAGTGGTCTACGAGTGATTGGAAGTGCTAATAATTGAGGATAGAGTTCTGGAACGGCTTGTTTGGAGAGTGAGGTGGTTAGAGTCGGTTTCTGAGATGAACGATTTGAAGGAGGATCATCAGATGATGAAGCACCATTGGGTGGGAGTGATCCATTGGTTGCTGATGAAGTTGAAGAAGTTGAGGCTTGATTTGATCGGTTTGAATTGGATTTGTTGATATCAGATTCGTGGGCAGGAGATTGAGGTTTCGGAATTCTAGTTGGATCATCATCGTTTTCTTCATTTTGATCTGATGGTTTAGGTTGAGATTTATCATCTGATGTATGCTTTGATCGATGATTAATCCATTTTGGATTAAGTCTTGGATAAAGGATTGAATCAGATTGAGTGAATTGATGATTAGATGAGATTGAAAATTGTCGATGAGGTGATGGTGATGACGAGGAAGATGAAGAAGCTCCTGAGTTGAGTTGGATTGGTCGTAGTTGTTGAGAATGTTTATTCAGATAAGTTGATGGTAATCGATTGATTTTTGATTTCTTGAAATGAAGTTGTTCTCTTAATCTTAAACTTGTGCTCAACATCCTTTAACGTTCAACTTGTGAATGAGCTCCTTCAGTTAATCTTCTTGATTGAAACTCTTTCCTTCGACTTTCTGATTGTGATGACTTAGTATGGTGATGGTTAGTGATGGTGATGTTGATGGCGATGGTTGATGGTAAAATGAAAGAAAGTTCCGCGAGAAAACGATCGGATTCGATTATTGAAAACTACAGTTCCATTTGATATATGTAGTTCTGCCTTCTCAACTTCATTTCATCAATTTGCAGTCTCGAAGTTGCAGTCTCTAATCTCGACCGCAACAATCTCAAATGAGTCTCAATAGTTCTCTAAAGACTGGTGTGAAAAACAGCTATTTTCCTGTTGATTCCACTGTTAATTCAAACCCACTCATCCTTTGTGTGATGGACGCTTTATGGGTTGATGACATGTCACGTGGAAACTGAAAGACTCCCCCAGCTTCTCCTCTTACGTCGAGTCAGAGAACAGCGTATGGGGTAGTGGCGAAGCCTACCGCCCGGGATGGCTCTCGTGTACGACCACAAGTCGGCTGGTCTTCACCAGTGGGTTTGGGTCTTCCAGACGTCTCGTTCTCCTCTCTTCCATTCTCCTCTACAAGGTGGGTGAGGTGGCATTTAAAAACTTTCAAAGATGAGTTTGAGAGAGAGAAACATGATTGAGCTTGAGATTGGTGTCGGTTGTAGTGGCGATACGAAAAGATTTCCCTGTGTTCGGGATTTCCTTCCTTGGAAATTCACCGCTACCCTGTCCCCTAGACCTGAAGGTGCCTCCTACTATCTCAACTCCGTGACCGTAATCTGGTATACAAGGGAAAGTCCATATATTCCAACAAGAAAAAACGCCAAGCTGTCTCAGAGCTCCTGAAAAACAAGCAAGAGTCTTGTCAAAATAGGCGTTTCAGTGTGCTAGGGCAGGTACTGCCTCAGTACTGCCTGCTTCTCGTAAAGCATCAGGTAGAGTTGGCTGGTGCATTTGTGGCTGGCAATGACACTTTGTTACAATAGGTTCTCCTCATCCTCCTATCACCATTCCATTGTATCTTGGACATGAAAAAAAAATTCCAAGGTCAGTTTTTAACTTGATTTGACATAGCAAGAATTACATTTTTTGGTTTTTAGTGGTGAATTCTGAAGTTTGATCTTCTTTGAGGCAGTAAATACTTTATCATTTTTCTGAATGTCCCACATATGATGGAATGATAGTGCACAATTGTGTGGAGCATGGATACTCAGGCTGTATAGATCATCACAAGTCAGAAATCTTAGCTTGGAAAACAACCTCAAGAGCTGAGTTATAGAGCACTGTTTCATCTTGATAGAGGGGAAGCCCCATGTAGAAAGTTATTGGGGAAAACATTGATAGGGACAAGTCAACTTCGTTATTGAGAAAAATGGGACAATTGGAATAAATCTGCAAGAGCACCCAACCATACCGTCTCCATCATCAGAATATTTCTCGTGGTTCCTTTCTGCATATCCCAACTCTGCCCATCCAAATGTGGATGCCACAAATGTGATTGCATTTTTCACAATAAATTTTGCTAGATCCACATTAAGATATGCAATTCAAATTGCCTTCCAAAGGAGTTGGATTCAAGGAGCAAGGTTTTCACAAAGGTATGTGTCTAGAGGGGTTTACCAAGCCTCAAAGCCATACACACCAAATTACACTTCAAACCATCGCGGATTCGTGTGACACCCTAGTGTCCGCCCCGGTACTCTAAATATGAGTTTTGAAATTTTTTGAGTCACACAAGAAACAAAAATTCTGCAATCCGCATACATTCACATTCTTTCTTTGCTATCGCTTGTTCCCCAGTGCAAACCTCATTCAACTCGCAGCTTTACCTCTGGAATACGAATCGATAATAAACCAGACAAGTCTCTCCAATATGAAGTATATTGTGTACGTCGTGAATAAATCAAAACAAGAAAATGACATGTTCCATTGACTGATTGAAATTGACTTCAAAAACTCAACTTCGTTCACACAGAGTTTCTGGTGGTGTGATATCTGGTATCGGAAAGGGGACGCTGGGTGGGTGACTGTTGTTTAGGGAGATTCAAGATCACTCCCAAAAGCTTTTTACTCAAAGTGATTTCTTCTGCTTTCGACTTCTAGCTTCATCTACTGGTTTACTTCTTAAGATGTTAGGATTACGCGTGACAGCAATCAAGATTGATCCATATATGAATATCGAGTAAGTTTCAGGACTTATCTCAACGTTTTCAGGCTTAGCTAGTTAACTTTGAGATTTTCCCATTTGTTTCAGTGCTGGGACCATGTCACCTACTGAGCATGGAGAAGTCTATGTACTAGATGATGGTGGTGAAGCTGATCTCGACCTTGGCAATTACGAAAGATATCTAGACGTGACTTTAACCCGGGAGCATAATATTACAACTGGAAAGATCTATAGTGAAGTGATCTCTAAAGAAAGGAAGGGTGATTATTTAGGAAAAACTGTTCAAGTCATTCCACATGTTACCGATGCGATCCAAGATTGGGTTGAACGTGTCAGTCGAATTCCTGTGGATGAAGATGGAGAAATACCGGATGTTTGCATTGTAGAGGTAAACACATTCAACTTTTTGTTGCTAAGTATATTCAAATTTGATTAACAGGTTGGATTTATCTTTCGATTAGTTGGGTGGTACCGTTGGTGATATTGAAAGTGCTCCATTTGTGGAGGCGATGCGTCAATTTCAGGTTAGTCTAAAGATATCAACAATCATCAAACAGAATCTATCTCTGGATATGGGATACTCATCTCAAGCTCACCTCAGTTTCGCGTCGGTCCAGAAAACTTTGCACTCATGCACGTCTCACTAGTCCCCATTGTCAATGGCGAACAGAAAACCAAGCCTACCCAATCCTCTGTTCGCGACCTTCGTGGACTCGGTTTGACCCCTGATCTAATTGCAGCGCGTTGTTCAGCACCATTGGAAAGATCAGTTGCTGCAAAGATTAGCATGTTTTGTCATGTTGGACCCGAACAAGTTTTAGCATGTCATGACGTTGCAAGCGTCTATCACGTGCCACTCTTTCTCAAGGATCAAGGTTTGATGAAATTTTTATCTCGACGACTCAGATTAGGAGAAATCAGTGTAGACGAAGGAGGTCCTAGGCAACGTCGAGGTAATGAACTACATGATCATTGGATGAAGCTTACTAAAGCGTAAGCTTATTCATCTTAAGGCTTGAAAACAGATTATCTTTGAAAATCGACTTTTTTTTATCTTCTTACTCCAGACATGATCATACTTTTGGAACGGCCAATATTGTCTTAGTTGGTAAATACGTATCACTGAAAGACTCTTACATGTCGGTCATCAAATCTCTGGAGCACGCTTCTCTTCGGTGTGGTAAGAAGCTAAACCTTGTGGTAAGCATATCTATATCTCAAGGCTCTTACTTTGAAATCACGATCGTTTTTGATATTGTATAACCCGTAGTGGATTGATTCTGAACATTTGGAAAAACGTGGATCAGAGACCAAGGAGTATCATGCTGCTTGGGTGGCCCTATACTCTGCTGAGTCAGTTGATTTAAATATCCTATCTTATCAAATCACTTATGTTTTCATCTTATATGATCACATAGCGGTGTACTCATACCAGGTGGGTTTGGTATTCGAGGTACTGAAGGTATGATGGCAGCAGCGAAATGGGCACGAGAGAAAAAAGTACCGTTTCTTGGTATTTGTTTAGGTTTTCAAATTGCCGTTTTAGAATGGGCTAGGAATGTTTGTAATTTACCAAGTAAGCCTTTAAATCTCATCTTCAATCTTTGTTTGTTCTATCCTAACCTAGATCGTATCCAGCCGCTCAATCTAGTGAATTGCAAGAAGATACCAAAGAGCCGGTGATTATGTATATGCCGGAGATCTCAAAGACTCAGATGGGTGGGACCATGAGATTGGGGCTTCGTGCTACCCTATTTCAGCCTGATACCGAATGGTCGGCCATCAAAGCAATCTATGGAGGACGAGAAACGATATGGGAAAGACATCGTCATCGCTACGAAGTCAATCCTGACTACATCGACCGATTGGAGCGAGATGGGTGGAGATTCACCGGAAAAGATGCTAAAGGACTACGGATGCAAGTGGCAGAGTTGAAGGGCAAGTTGCATTACTTTCTGAGCGTTCTCTGGGAAACAGTCGTAATTGACGTTTGAATTATCTAGATCATCCATTCTATTGTGGTATGCAAGCTCACCCTGAGTTTTGCACGAGGCCTCTAAACCCTTCACCGCCTTATTTGGGATTTGTCGCTGCTGCATGTGGTCAAGAAGTCTTAAAACAACAAATTGAAAGTCAAAAACAAACGTATAGTCCACCACATCCAGCTGCAAGATTGGTAATCACACCTTGCTCACCAGAATTTTCAAGACAATTGAAAGATGAAACGGAAACGGATCAAAATTTGTTGGCTACTGCTGTCTCCAATTTAACAACTTCATGAGAATCGTTTTTTTTTGATCGGAAAAAATGAAAATAGAAGTGTTTGTTAATCTTTTGAGGTCCATAACCAACAGATAACAAACATCATATGTTGTGTACATTATAGGATCATGATTTGTAACCATTTAATCTCATCTGATTTTCTAGTCAACCTTTTACAGAAGACACCAGTTTCAGCGCTTTTTCATCACGGCAATATAGAGATACCCATCAATATCACTGTTTAACCACGTTCATGACCCTCAAGATGATATGGACAAACATTTGCATACCCTCCGTCTCTGATGAAAATTTTCCGCAGTGACTTTGGTCATAGGCTGTCACACTCAGACGCGAGGTTTAAATCACACATCCACTTTGAGAACAACCATTCCCCAATGTAAATATTTCTATCTCTTGACTTGTCTAATTTTCAATTCCAAGCACGCTGTATGCAGCAGTTCAATTGATCTACAAGTACAGTATCTCTGGAGATAACTCGACATCACTTTTAGCCTTGATGTCTTGATCTCACAATATCTTACGTGTTTTCGTACCGATTGATATTTTATCAAGTCATCAGCCATCTCTTAGGATTGAAGAGCCAAACTTACATAAAGCTGTGATCAACTTTTCACTCTCATATTTACGCGCTTAAGAACTTGACAATGCACATCACCCCTGAGATTTGACACATTCATCTGGGTAACGGCTTTGAAATCAGATCCTGTGAATTTATATTGTGTTGATAGAAGTAAGTCGGTCATTCAATTTGGATAGGTACAGAAAAGTTCAAGAAGAGTATTGGATGCTTGTGCGATCAAGACAAAAGGAAAGATGCAGATCATGACAAATGACAATATATACAAAAGTTTTGAACACTAATCTAATTACTGAATTGACTCATTGACAATAGAGTCAGTAGGACAATCAGGTCGAAGTTTTACATTTCGTTGCATCATTGAGTTTTTTTTCTTTCGTTTGTCTGCTTTGAATGCTTTACGTTCCAGGTCCAACTTCACTCTTGCTGCGTGTACTTCACACTCTTCTTGATTGCCCTTCTCAGCAATCTCCTCGGTGTTAGATCCTACCTCAGTCCTCTTCGCACAACAAGTTTTGCATAAACCCCATCGACATTTAGCTGCACCTGAATTCGTACACTCTGGATGATTGGTGCATTGAACTGGTCCATAGAAGACGTCGGGGCCATCGACAGTCACAGATTTTGTATCCTTCATAGAAGTAGTATTTGGTATACAAGAGTTAACTGATGGTACGGCAGTGATCTGCAGAGGTCGGATGTAGGGCTGGCATCGCGAATAAGGAATATTCAGTCGTCGTAGATATTCATCTGATTTTTCATGGGGTCGAATATGAAAGTCGTCATCAACTATTGTCTCATTGAGCAGCCCAGTTTCCCGGTCCACCTAAATTCGTAAGCAGAGAAGCAATTTTTAGAGATTAGATACCAAGATTATTAGACAACCATTAAAAACTTTTACAGACCTGTAATCTATCACGTATTGCATCCGTCACTTCCTGGAATCTCGCCAAAACCTCATGATAAGTCTTCTTATCTCTTGCCTTTGAGCTAGTTTGAGATGATGGTACAGATCCGGTTGATTTGATGGAAGTCCAAGATATGCCCGCAAGTTTTTCACGTATGTCATTATAACGACCCGTGTCGAATACGGCTCGGAAAAGTTTATACAAATGACCTTTGATGGCAGAAAGTGCTGTTCGAGTTTCTAATGTTGCACAAATAGCTAAGTATTGATGGGCTACCTTTGTACAATTAGGGTAATGTTCAAGTGATTCTGAACTGCCTAGAACTCTATCGGGATCTTCATACTTTTCGTCGATCAACTTCAAGACATCTTTGAACTTTTGAGGTAAACCTTCTCGGTAAGTTTTCATACCTTGAAGGTTAAGTGGTGCAAAGATTGCTGGATTATATAAGTTCCCTTCAGCGCTCATAACTCCATTTACGTTTGTTTGAGTCATCAAATCCAAAGTATCTTTTGCTATTAAAATGTTTCCATTTCCAACGATTGGGATCTTCTCCTGATGACTGATTTCTGCAACAGATTTGATTTGATTCCAATCTGCTAAACCAGTATATTGACCTTTTTGTTCTCGTGTTCTTCCATGTATAGTTAAAATTTGAGCACCAGATCGAATTAATCGTTTTGTATAATTAGCTGTTTCTTCTGGATCTTCAAAACATCGATATTTGGCTGTTATAGGAATTGATGAATTTTGATGCATATGTGAGACTGAATGAGATCAATTGAATATATATATCTTCCGTCAGCTGGGGTTTTTTTCGATAGATTCTGATTAAGATTCCTGACAAAATCGTCAAGTGTTCAGTGTCATCCTTGTCAAAGCAAGAAGATCCGGACGAAAGAGAAAACAAAAGGAAGAAGAAAAGAAATAGTTCAATTAAAATCAATTGAACGAACCCATTTTCTCAATTAAATCAAGATGATCCATTAAAAATGCTCCATATTTTCCTTTTCTTGCAATTCCTTGTGGACAACCTAAATTTAAATCGATTGCATCAATTTTGTTGGAAGGTGATTCAGCTGAACCACTGATAAGTTTCGATGCTTCCAAAAATGTTTGAGGGTCATTCGAACAGAATTGAGCAATCAATGGTCTATCTAAATCTGGTGATCCTTCTTCATTGGATTCCAAGTCGAATTGCTCAAGTCGATATTTTGCATTTTTAGGATCCGCAAACAAAGCTGAATGAATCATTGGGGTATAACAAAGTTGTGCACCGTAATATCTTGACAAGATTCTCCAGGCAAGTTCTGATGCATCCACCATAGGAGCCACGATAAATTTAGGGCTCTTGAGAATGGTATGATAGAGTTCATGTCCTTTTGCCTTTGGAGGATGATTCGAAGCTGAATTCATTGTGGCAGGCCGAACAGTAGAGGAGGGAGGACCTGAAGAAGTTGACATGCTCGATTTAAATGAGAGTGTGACGTTCGGAGGATGTCGACTGAAGAAGCGAAAAAGCAATAAAGACGAGCGCATGCAAATTCCTACACAAACTTGAGCTGTTGGCCGTTCGGGGGAAATATTTCAGAAATCGCCGAGTTGAGAGCGGAAGATCACAGGCGGGGTGCGGCGCGGCCCTGGGGGATCAGGGCCGGCCCCGGAGCGCAGCCCGTTCAAGATGAAACCCGAAGGTCTTTCAAATGGTTCAGGGCCAGGCAGGGCGTGCCCTGAACTTGAGGCCTCGGAGCCAGGCTTAGGTTTTAGGCACAAAAACCACATGATGGGCAATTCAACAGCTCATACCGAACTTAACTAAGTCCCTCTCGGACGAACAAGTAGTCGAGAGAGGGACTTATACAGTTGTTATCACCAAAGCTCTCTGACTGGTTTGGCCGGGGCCGGCCCCGGTCCGACTGGTCAGGGGGTTCCAATGACACCCAGGGATGCAGCAGTGAGTGTACTCCGACTCAGTCGCTCGGATATCAGCTATCGGTACTCAATTTGAGTACCAATACATGTGAGTTACAGTCACAGTACAAGACTCAAACCATTTTGAGCATCAAGAAGTGTTTGATTTCGGGACTCATAATGGGCCCGCCCGTAAGTACCGCGCGCTGTATAATACTCACCGAGTGAGTAGACTCACGCAGACACTCAGAGTAAACTCATGAGTACTCTCACTGACAACTTTTGGTAGAGAAGACAAGTTGAATGAAATCAACTTGTCTTCTAGGATCATGAGTGGGGATATATATATATAATTGGTAAACAACGGACTTCTTTTTGTCATGAACCTCTTGTAAAGAAGAACAATAGGGTACAATTCGAGATGAAATACAAATGAAATATTATAATATCTCAAGCAAATTCCACCACATTAAGAGTAGCATCCTGGTTTGTGAGCCAGTGTCGGACCAGAACAAGGTGGCAAATGACCTCTGTGTCTAGGCGGCCTTGTGACGGGACAGCAATGTTTCCCGATATTGAGAAACCCTCTCGACCGAGGCTCCAGCAGCCGCAATCGTGAGGTGTTGGAGGGAAATCTGGGCCAAGATTGGAAGGCCACCGGGTTTCGAACATGCGCTGAAAAAGAAAGAGACCTCAGTAAGAAGGTAGAGTGGATCGGCGGCAAGGGAACAAGGAAATACGTACCGTCCAGTATTGCCCAATGGTCTTGTAGGGGAGGGTGGGTTCTTTACCTCGTAGGTATTGGGTGACTTCGTCCATCTCATAACTGGGGATGGAGGAAACGGTTGACAAGGTCCCTAACTCCGAGTAAACCTGTGCAAGCTTCTTGTTTACAGGGGGGTTTGAAGTAGCAGGAGCAGACGTGGGAGATCCTTTGCCAGATTCAGGCTTCCAGAGGTCGTATTCTTCTTGCAGGAGGTGCTTGGCGCGGCCTTGAAGTTCTTCACGATTTTGAAAAACTTCGTCGAATTTGAAAGGGTCAAGAAGGGCGGAGATCAAGGTCTGCTGATTGACCTCTTCGCGGTCCATATACTTGACGAGTTTGTCTTCAGCACGTTTGCAAGCCTGACCCCAAACTCCCGGAACCACCTGATGACGCTTCAAGACCTTTTGAATTGCCCAAAGTACCGGTAGAACTAGATGCTTAGTCGGTTCGTTGGACTGAAAAAGCTGGGTCAAAGTTTCAAACCACTCCAGAATGGGCATCATATACCACTGCAGACATTATTCGGGTTCCCCAAGTGGGCAGGGAAAAATGATTGGGAGTATGATTTGTCATAAAATGGTCTATCACTCCACACCTGAGCCATAACACCCACACTACATATATGTAGCAGGCTCAGTGAATATGTGGTTATCATGTACATACAGTTCTGCTCAGTTATCTGCTCATCAGGACAAGTTATTCATATGTAATACATGCTGTAACTTCTTTCAGATTGAAAAAAGCTTCCAAAAGATTGACTACATACACTGACTCAATGTTTTGGTGTGATCTCATCAACTCAACTGCATGTAACACACTTTCTGTTACTAAGACATAGCTTCAACAATATTGCCTGAGCAGCTACAGAATTATATGTAGTGAATTTTTGGGAAAAAAATTTCAAAGTCAAAAAAGTTACATGTGGTATAACATGTGATTTATTTATTCTGATGGGCAAAAAACTGAGCAGACCTGTATGTACATGATAGACAACTATTGACTTAGCTTGCTGCACATATGTAGTGTGGGTGAAATGGCCCAGGTGTGCAGTATTAGATTCTTTTATGAAAAACTGTACTATTAATCATTTTCCTCTGCCAAATTGGGGAAGTTGAATGATGTTTACAGTGTACTCGATGGTGGCCCAGTCCGCCTCTGAAATCTTCAGTTTGCTTCGTTTGGGATCAGCAGTGTAGGCTTCTAGAGACTTCCTGAGAGCTAGGGATCGTTTGCACTGAAAATCTGGTCAGTGACAACAATCAAATGGTTGCAAATAAGAAACATGGTTACTTACTACATAATAAAAATAATTCCATCTAGTGGGAGGGCAACTCAGAGGAAGAAGTTGCAGATCTCCCACACTGTTACGGACCTTGATAAAAGCTTTGAGCTCTTGTGGGCTCTTTCAGATATGAGTATCCAACGCACGGATTTGGCTGACAACGGTTGGTTTTTTTTGAGAGGTGATTTGAACTGTGGGTGATTCTTCTTCATTAATTGTTTCCTCATAAGTTCCTTGAGATTGATCGTAATGGTCTTGACTGAGGCCGTGGGCTTCAAGAGAGACTTGGTCAAGGTCGAGATTTGTTTCAGTAGGACATTGAGGGATGGTTGAAGAGTCAGCTTGTTCTTCCTCATCGGTACTTGGAAGTTTGTCAAGTTCAAAGGTTGAACGGGGTTCGGCCATCCCACTAGTTTCAAAAGCGGCAAGATCCGCTTCCAAAAGCTCTCCCATACCATCCAGAAAGTCCTTAGCCACCAGGTTAATGACATGGCACATACAGCCATGAAACCTAGACGCAAATGGCCAGTTAATTCCGATCTTCAAGTATCACTCGCTCAAGATTTTCGCCATTGCTCGGTTTGAAGATGCATTATCACCAGTCACCAAAAAGTGATCACGTAAGGCACCCACATGGTCCAGGGCGTCCCAGTAGACTTGGGCCAGATTCTTGCCTGTGTGTTTGCCTTCCAGGGTCTAATGCAGACAAGATAAAAAGTATTTCATCAGCAAATGAAATACCCAAACATTCAAAATAGATAAACAAGTCTAAAAGAAACAGACTAACCTTGTAACAATAATGCAATATGTAGAGAAGTGAGGTGGAAAATGGAAGATCAGCACGATTAAATATCTGGCCAAAAGCTAACTGATATACTGACTTTGAAGGCTAGTAGGCGACGGCAGAACTGCCCTTCAGCATTGAAAAAAAAAACCATTTATAGCCATGTAAGTGTGAGAGAAATCTGCACTCGTCCAGCAGTCGGTTGCGTTGGAGATTGAACCAGGAACGCGTTTGATTTCATCAAGGAGCTTCTTCTCCAGATCCAGGAACAGCGCCTCGCTTTGACTGCCATCCGACCAGGCCAGTAGAAAGATGGGCAGATGGCACGTAACGCCTTCTGCATCAACTCGCCCTCGAATATCAAGAACAGGAAATTTTTGCTGATGATTGCGCCGGTGAGGAGCGTTCGCAGCTGTTTCCTTCGATCAGCAGAAGCAATCGGATCTTCTTTGGGAGCTATACTTCCAGGGGTATGATGAAACCAGGCTAGAGGTAAACCCGGAAACTTGTGACGGTGCTTGTGCAAGTTTGAGTTGGGGCGACCGGTGATCTGCAGAATCGTCCTGTCAAACAATTCAAATGATTTTCTAATTAGCAAAGGTGAAGGATTAATAAATAAAAAAACTCACGGGCAGTGGAGACAGGGGTAACAAGCTGTATCCTCCCCTTTTGTTGGGTCAAGCGAGGGCTGAGGGTCCTATTGAATGATTGCCGAATCAATAACAAGATTAAAAATCAGTTTGTGAGCTTTGATTGAATTGATTATAAAAATAAAGCTGACATCATAATACATGTATACATCAGAACGGTTCTTATTGGATCTGTTGGTGGTGTCTTCACCATCCTCCATGTCTTTGTTGCGGAACGCGACAAGCCTGGGTGCATTAGAGGGCGTTGCAAATCCCTGTTTGGGAACTGAGGTTCCAAAACAAAGGTCTGATGGTTGTCCACGAGACAGAGCAGTGTTCTGAGGAGCTGAGGCTACACGAGATAAAGATGATACACAAGAACCCGTGGTGGCCAGAGGGGTCGAAGGCGCTGAGGTAACCCGACGGTAGGGAGTTAGCGATGGAGCAGGCTTTTGTTGAGGATAACGAGGCATGGTGAGACAAAGGTAATGGAAAGGGCTAGCGAAACAATAGAAAATAAGAAAGAGAAAATCAGAATCACAGAACAAGTGGAAAACAGGTATAGAGAGAAAATGACTCAAGGAGGTACTTACCGGATGTCAAAAGACCATTCCTGATGCCCAATTACCTCCACGTCCAAATTTGAGTTAACGCACGCCAACGCCGGTATCAAAAACTCGATGTGGCGACCTGAAGATTCTTGAGTCATGAGCTAATTTGAGATTTGTACGATGGGCGAATGAATGCTGCTGGATGCTGATTGAGGTAAGGATGAGGGGGCTTGATATCGAATCTGTTCGGTGGCGGTGTCCTAATTGGTATTTGGGAGAGATCCTAGATTGTGGGACCAGTCAATATCCTAGATCGTGGGTAGTCGATAATAGATATCCTAGATCGCCGTGTGGTTGCAAAGGAAGTCTTGTTTGGCTGAGTTTGCGGTGAGTGTACTCATCGAGATAAGAGGCGTGGCGAAATAGGGTAAGTGAGTATTAGGTGCGGAGAAGGGGCGCATGTGTGGGTACGGGTATTCAATTTACAACTACATGTGAGTACTCCGATATGGAGGTCAACTCATACAGTTGGCATCTCGAGTACATGTACTCGGGTATGGGCCAAATGCTGTGTGTAGTGGGTAGGAGTAGAGTATACTCTAATGGGCCTCAGGGCGTCCTGAAATGGTCTTACCCCGTCTCAAAATGGTCTGCAAAAACCCCGACCTTTTTGAGACCGCATTAGACCATTCTGTGACACCCTGTGGTCCAGCTACAGACGGCCTTCGCGGCAGGCGGTCTGCGACACAGAACCCCCCCCCCGTGGTGTACTTTCACCAAAACAATCAAAAATTTGGGGGTTTTCACCAAT